AACCATGCAGTTCAGCATGCTGCCAATTTGAATGAGGGTCATTCCTTCTGGACTGTGTCATGGGTTATAAAGAAATCCTCCATGGAAATAAACCATCCTGAAAATGAGTGCATTCTTTCAGCACAATGTAGGACCGTGTGTCAGACAGTCACCCACCAGACGTCCATACCCATTTAAAAAAAGCAGACTACACAGTAAGCCAGACCAATGTGAATGTCTGACCAGGGAAATGTCTGTTTTACTGTGAGTCATGGGTACCGGGAAACTAAAATGGATGATTTCACCAGAGTTTCTCTGATTTGAAGGAGCTGGGCTGTTAACTGGTACGTATGGTTTGCAAAGTCACTTTGTGTTGCCTTTTGGTGCATTCACCTTATAGCCAGTGGGATAACCACTTTACAATATGTATTTTATTATTTTTGTATTTTTCATTAAAAAAAAATAAAAAAAAAATACATTAGAAGTGCCATTTGAGAACATGGAATGTAGACATACAGTATTAGCCTATACAACAGCCGTTAACAAAGACTGATGGCTATTTTCAGGGATCAAACATCTGAAAGCAGTCATTTACTGAGAACAAAAAAGCTTGAGTGAGTGAGGTATTACTGTGCGCAGCTTTTGGATGCTTGGTGTAAATATGTGCAGTGCTCATCAAAGTAGACCCAAATGTTGTTTTCTGGGGGGAACAATTGCTTGCAGAATGGCCTCCTAATTGCCATCGTGAATAGACAAACGATTTACTTTTAGTTAGCACAGCACCAACACACCCATACAGGGTGTCTGGCCTCCAGTTATAGCTACAAATCTTTTCTTACCCCCACAGACTCAGTGAGGGAACTGAAGAAGTTGATATCAGATCAAATCAAATCAAATCTTATTTGTCAAATGCGCCGAATACAACAAGCCTTTAACCAACAATGCAGAGTAAGAAAATGTTTGCTAAATAAAACTAAAGAAAACAAAAAGTAACGCAATCAAATAACAATAACGAGGCTATTTACAGGGGGTACCGGTACCGAGTCAATGTGCGGCGGGTACGGGTTAGTGGAGGTAATTGAGGTCATATGTACATGTAGGCAGGGGTAAATTGACTATGCGTAGATATTAAACAGCGAGTTGCAGAAGAGCAAAAAAGGGGGCCAATGTAAATAGTCTGGGTTTGATTAACTGTTCAGCAGTGTTATGGCTTGGGTTATAAACTGTTAAGGAGCCTTTTGGACCTAGACTTGGCGCTCCTGTACGCTTGCAGTGCGATAGCAGAGAGAACAGTCTATGACTCTAGTTTGAATTGTTGTATCTGACTGAAGACATGGTGATGCTGTCTTTTCCCTTCAGATCTTTAGTCATCCAGTGATGTGGGTTGGCAGGTTATCAAGGTGCGTGCGTGCATGTGTGGGGGTATGTGGTGGGATAGCTCTGTGTAACACATTTCATCCAGGGCAGTTTCATCTCTCTCTCAGCCCAGTCCCCTGCTCACAGGCTGGGCTATCTCCATCACAGGAAGCCACAGTGGAATTTCCTCTAGAAGAGTTTGGTGTTTGGTCTCTGGGGTTGGGCTGTTCATGTCCACAGTCGTTTATCCCTCGTAAAACCTTGGAGAGAGACAGGAAACGTTTACTTTAGGTCTGCATCTCTAGGGGATATTGTGTACAAGGACACATTGGCTGCGTTTTACACAGGAAGCCCAATACTGATATTTTTTCCACAAATTGGTCTTTTGACCAATCACATCATATCTGTCCACATCAGATCTTTTTCAGAACTGATCTCATTGGTCAAAATGCCAATTAGTGAAAAGAATATCAGAATTGGGCTGCCAGTGTAAGCACAGCCATTGTACTGCGGATATGTGTTAGAGGACATACACTGAGTGTACAAAACATTAGGAACACCTTCCTAACATTGAGTTGCACCCCCTGTTGCCCTCAGTTCATCAGGCATGGGCTATACAAGGTGTCAAAAGCGTTCCACAGCGATGCTGGCCCAATGCTTCCTACAGTTGTGTCAAGTTGGCTGGATGTCATTTGGGTGGTGGACCATTTTTGAGTCACATGGGAAACTGTTGAGTGTGAAAAACCAAGCAGCGTTGCCGTTCTTGACAAACTGAAACCGGTCCGCCTGACACCTACTACCATACCCCGTTCAAAGGCACTTAAATCTTCTGTCTTGCCCATTCACCCTCTGAATGGCACACATACACAATCCATGCCTCAATTGTCTCAAGGCTTAAAAATCCTTCTTTAACCTGTCTCCTCCCTTTCATCTACACTGATTGAAGTGGATTTAACAGGTGACATCAATAAGGGATTATAGCTTTCAACTGGATTCACCTGGTCAGTCATGGAAATAGCAGGTGTTCCTAATGTTATGTCCCCTCAGTGTATATCTGTGTTAAGTGGACCAAGAACATAGCATCTATATTCTAGAATTCAAACATTCTGTTTAGATGTTCTATGTCACATGTGTCCAACTCATTCCATGGAGGGCCGAGTGTTTGTGGATTTTTGCTCCTCCCTTGAACTTGATTAATGAATTAAGATCACTAATTAGTAACGAACTCCCCTCACCTGGTTGTCTAGGTCTTAATTTAAAGGAAAAACCAAAAAACCTGCAGACACTTAGCCCTCCATGGAATGAGTTTTACACCCTGATCTACAGTAAGTGATTGACAGTTTGTATTCAGCAGTCATAAAAGTCTTATTTACTTTGAAGAACTACTAAAATAGTGATTTAGTCAGACAGCATAGGCAGCAGCTCTATAGAGATGAGATGATGACTTGGAATGAAATAATAAAGTCATCAAATAAAACAAATGTAATATACACAACAACTGAAATATTTTAGTAAAGTAAAGTAATGTGAAGAAATTATGGTTAATAAGTGATAAGCAGTAATGGGCTGTCCCTAACATAATTTGACTTTTATTAATTGTTTTATTCAGTTGTTACAGCATTCAACCCACGTAATGCATAGTGCACTTAATGTAAAAAAAATAATATCAAAATCAAAAACCGTGATTTTTTGTTTATAATCAAACCAACACCGAACCGAGGTAAAAAAAGCACTATTTCAGCACTACCATTTGGAGCAGGATATTAGCAGGTATATCAATCACATTGTTTTGATTGCGACAATGCCAGGGGATCCAACCATTTAGGTCATACCTCAGCATCAATAGGATTTATTGCTGGTTATCAGTTTTAACTAGGTCAAGTTGTCAAATGAGAACGGGTGAAGAACATACTTGTTTCCTAATGGGAAAATGTCCACCTCACTCTGAATTCAGAGCAGACATTTTGGAACTGCTGTTGCTGACACAGCTGCTGATTACATATTCAGAAAATATGTAATGGCTGCTCATCAAAGGGAGGAGCTGCAGCTAACAGACTGGAGGCAACTTGACAAGCATTCATTCTAAATTCGCCAGTAATACATCAAGACAATGCCCACTGGGCACAGACGTCAATTCGGCGTTTATTCCATGTTGGTTCAACGTCATTTCATTGAAATGACGTGGAAACAACATTGATTCAACCAGTGTGAGCCCAGTGGGTGTTTCTTACTACTTGTTCAGATGTTGATAACATTGATTGATTGTAAACTTTACAGTTAAGTATAGTTTTGTACTTTTCATAACAACGGAAAAAGATCAATGTGCTCGCCTGCTTTGAGGCGGTTCTTTTTGGGTGACTAGTCGGTTTGGAATGTAACTGTCAAGTCGCTTTTTGACCTTACTTTCACTATCAGGAGGTCAGTAGGAAATAGTTTGAAATGTTCCACAGCGCTCACTCATCCCAGAACTCAAAGTCACTGTGTTTGTGATTTGCTGTCTACAATTATATTATAACTTTATTTGCTCCAAAACATGAAATTCTATTAAATTATTTTGGCAGTCTAGGTTTCAATGTTAGTTGTTGTTGTTTAGGTCTCATAACTGAGAAGTTAGAAAATGTGTCTTTATGCTATGTAGGAGACTACAATTACAGAATCCGTTCAAGTATTGTTTAAATGCAAATGTAAGCAACAAGTGTGTGCTAGTATTTTAAAGAGCGCAATTTGGAGTCTACTCTGCATTTATAGTATGACAACGTATGCACTCACTAACTGTAAGTCACTCTGGATAAGAGCGTCTGCTAAATGACTAAAATTTTAAATGTAAATAGTTCTGTCCGCTCTAGATTCTGTCTCCAGGTTTGACAGAGATATAGGACACCGTAAACTTCAAGGGGTCCATTTACTTTTAAAGTGAAAATGATACACCATGTCACTCCCCCACCCTAGGCTTTAGTTTGACTTATGTCATCAGAGACAATGGGCCCTATCCCCAGATAGAAGGTTGTTGTTCTTGCAAACTGCTTTCTGTGTTTTCTACTTCTCTTGGTCAGATCTCCAACAGTTCATTTTCAAGCTAACTAGAAAAGCATTCCAATGCATTCCTAGTTGCTGTGATGCAGTAATACTATTATTCTCCAACATGAATCAACCATATTTGCGATGCTTTGAGAAGTATTGAGAGTATTCAAATGTCCAGTCGTGAGATGTAAATATTTATAACACACATCTTTGCCTTGCATTAGCTGCTCTGAGCCCAGTAGGTTTGCATCGGTTTCCATTGGACTAGAGCTGGCTAGCTAAATAGCTCATGCTAGCTAGCTAACACAAGCTGATTATCATGTAGCAGCCTATGCTGACTAGTGTCGCTAACATGGTAATGTTAGTTAGCTAGCTAATTACCATACACCGTAGTTGTGGGTCCACAAACTCAAGCAAATGGCAATGACCTCATGACAAAATCATGTTTCCACATACTAGTGGTTATTGATATTCTGGTTGTTTTATTTTTGCTTAGTGACATTGCAAATATAATCTTTGTACCATTTAACTCTGATTTAACTACCGGTATGTATCCTTTCTAATCCTTCTTCTTCTTTACCTTCTACTTCTTCTTGTTCCACGTTTCTCCATTTGTTCCTGTCTGCCAACTTCTCCTTCTTCAGATCTTCTTATTCTTCTTCTTCTTCTTCTTCTTCTTCTTCTTCTTCTTCTTCTTCTTCTTCTTCTTCTATGGTATTATGGTGGTCAGCAAACAAATGTTAAGTGCATGCCGCCACCTACTGTACAATCCATTATACTTTGTGATATGATGATACAAATTTGGGGAAAATAAAAATTACCCTGCAAATTAACCCTAATTAAAACAGGAATCCTCTCAGGATCTCTCGCCCTGTACCCATCTACTCTCTTTACTGCCTCAGCATATGACACCTTCTGTACTACTCTGATCCTGGCAACCTCAACCTGTCTTTCTCTCACCGGACACCTCTGATCTCCAACACCATGGGCACCCCCACAGCTAACAACACACACAACTTTTTCTACCGATTCTACACATTCCTTTCTCATGCCCACCTGCACACTTCTCACATCTAGGAATCTCCCTCCTACACACTGCTGCAACATGACCATAAGCTTGGCACCTAAAACACCGTAGTGGGTTTGGGACAAAAGCTCTCTTGGGATAAATTACACATCCTAACTTGACCTTGTCAGGTAAAGACTCTGCATCAAAAACTCAGCAGGACAGACAGTGTCCTCTCCGTTTCACCATGCTCTCCACCGCGTCGCACCAAACAGCAGGTGTCACAGACACCGGGAATCTTCCATTTCAGTTGATTCTCCTCCGCACTTAATATCACTCATTTCAAAGACGCCCTGCTCCGGAGAGCAAAGCAAGTCACAGCTCTTGTCCTTAGTCGCGTTGTCCAGAGCGCCCGCTCCCTCTCGACAGAGGAAACGCAAAATATCTTCACGAGTCAACTTCGAGTTACTTTCACCAATTCAACAGTCCCCAACCTCTTCTCCACCCAACCTGACACCACATATGGATCTGCCAGAAGGCAAGGATTTATTCTCTCCAAACTGGGCCAGAATTATCTTTGTCATCATCAGGACGAGGCTCAAACTCAGCGGTCTTCAATGCACCTGCCACTGCAGTTAGTTCATCGTCACTCTCGTCACATTAAATTTCCTTCTGTAGCTCTTCCAAAGGTTCTGTGTGATCCACCATTCCATATTCACAAAAATCACATTTCTCCTTTTTTTTCCTGTCCGCCATCTTCTCCATCAGATCTTCCAGAAGGCTTGTGTATTCCCCACTCCATATCTCCTTCTTCCTTCTTCCTTCTTCCTTCTTCCTTCTTATCCTGTTTCGGCATGAGGGAAGTCGCAAATTCCCACAAGATACAGCAATACTTTTTTTATGTAAAACACATGGGCTAAAATAATACCCTTGTATTTCTCCTCCTAGTGTTTCAATAGAGCCACAAGTGCATATCGCGGTGGACATAACTTTCCTCTTACTCCTCCTCCTCAGGAGCAGAGCTGCAGACTGTTTATTCTCCTACATCTGGATATGCACTTAGTTGATGTAAAACACCAGGATGCCGTGACCTTGTGTATATGTTAAAGTGCAGACTGGTAAACTGGAATGTTGTACATCATCGTGTAAAGTTTACTTTAATCATACCTGGGTTGTATTCATTTGGCTCTAAAACAGAAGAAAATGGACAGAAACGGGGAGGGACTACATGGATTTTAGTTTTTTAAAGTTTTTGCAAAACGTTTTTAAACATTTCCTATTACATGCCCTAATGAATACAACCCTGGCATGATGTATGGACTGGCTGGCTACTCATGCATGGAAGATTGAAGAAAGAAATGGAGCTTGAAATTGCTATCGCAGTAATGAAGTTAGTTCCATGTGTGTCGTAGTCAATGAGATGCTTGTTGTTGTTTTTTAAGGTGTACATTGTGTCTGTTGATTGGTGGTTGCAAGTCTGAGGCTCAATTGATACCAAGCTAATTAAACATCAGAGACGTCGGCTTTGTAACGCATCTGAGTTTGATTCAGAAGGTCTGTTACAGGATAGCCTACCATGTATACTGTAAGTATAAAGCAACAAAGGGAGAAAACGTGCCCAGCTACACATTGCTCCCATTTGTTAAAGCATATCAATGTTTTTTGGTTGGTTTGACCTAGTGTGCTAGTGGACACCACCTGAGACGATGTGGAAACCACATGTTTGACTGCTAGCCGGAACACCGTATAGAAAATACATGGTTTCAAATCCAACAGGTAGCCTACACCTGCGGAAGCCAAGCAGTATTTTGAGACAAACCATTTTACCTGTGTAGGCTTATTTTTCACGCCACAAATGTATGCATATTATGTTATGACGATCATCACCATACACACGGGAGACATTACTGTAGACTCATACCACCATGAACTAGTTTTCCTCCATTCAACCTATAGATACGGTTAGTTCTATATTGTGACATTACTTACCTCACAATAAGATATGCCATTTATGATCACTTTGGAGTGAAATGGAAATTCATTGCAGTTACAGACATGGTAAGTGTTCCACAGCTGGTTCAGGTTAAGAAGAGTTGAAGGGCTTTTCAATACAGATGAATCATACTGTCTCGTATTCTTTGATCTGTGTTTCTTCTTCATTCCTGCGTGTATGTGCCGAGTGTGTTATGATACCGTAAATTATATGTTATATGCTCAACCTCACTGGCTTTGTGGTCAGAGCGCTGTAATGAAAACACACAAACCATGTATGGTTAGAGAGCAAGCCAAATGCCACTGTGAGGTAAACCACAGCCTAGAGAAGGTTGCAGTCAAGTTGACGGCAAGGCAAGACCAATGTCCCTCAAGGGTATTCTATTCAGTAATTGGCATATTGTTGAACCTTGCTACAGTAGATGCTTGTATAATTATTCCTTTGATGCACTGCTGGTTGGCAATTTGCAGATGGATGGCTTGCTGTATATTGCTCTTAATTCACTGGGATAACTTTGTTTTGCTCAAATTTAGATGTGCAAAAGAGAAAACCTAGTCTGATACTGTAGCTTCCAGTCATGTTTGATATGATTATGTGAAGCCCTATCTACTGATCTCATCCCATAATCTTCCCCAGGGCTCCATTACTTTCTGTTCTAGATTTCTAATCTAGTATAAGTATAATACGTTTTCCACATATTATAGTTACTCAAAAGCCTTCCTTGAATACCATATTATTACTGTAAAGATTCAACCTCTAACTAAGAGGAACATCTCAGTCAATGCACTTACACTATACAGTTTATGCAAAAGTATGTGGACACCCCTTAAAATTAGTGGATTCGGCTATTTCAGCCACACCCATTGCTGACAGGTGTATAAAATCGAGCACAGAGCCATGCACTCTCCGTAGACAAACATTAGCATTAGAATGGCCTTACTGAAGAGCTCAGTGACTTTCAACGTGGCACTGTCATTGGATGCCACCATTCCAACAAGTCAATTCGTCAGATTTCTGCCCTGCTAGAGCTGCCCAAGTCAACAGTAAGTGCTGTTATTGTGAAGTGGAAACATCTATGAGCAACAACGGCTCAGTCGCGAAGTGGTAGGCCAGACACGAATGGGACCGCCGAGTGCTGATACACGTAGGGAAATCTTAACGCTGTAGACAGCAGTTGACCATTGTTGAGTTGTGTGGAACAGAGACAATGGAAAACTAGGAGTCAGTAGAAGGTGGGGGAGGGGGTAATTTAGAGCGACCACATCCTCCCAAGTCAACATGGTGGGAACCACTCCAGTGTGCTGCGTTTCTTTAAAGGAAGCCCCGGCTGTCAAGAGAACACAGGAAGAGACAGCTCCAGAAGAAAACGAGGCACAGACATGTAATCAGCTACTTTTTCATTTAACTTTCCTGGCTGGCCTTCCTGCACCATCCCCTAGCCTTGTTTGTGGAAGAGAAGAGAAGAGAAGAGAAGAAGGGAAGAGAAGAGAAGAGAAGAGAGGAGAGGAGAGGAGAGGAGAGGAGAGGAGAGGAGAGGAGAGGAGAGGAGAGGAGAGGAGAGGAGAGGAGAGGAGAGGAGAGGAGAGGAGAGGAGAGGAGAGGAGAGGAGAGGAGAGGAGAGGAGAGGTGCGTGTTCAAACCAGAAGCAACAATGTTCTCCTACGCCAACAAGGTTTGCCTATAATCCCCAATGCTCGTACCTCACAACTCTGGAATATGTAGATAATGTTGTAGTTTATTTTTTTTACAGACACACAGATGTATTTTATAAAATGAAGGGAGGCGTCTCCTCTGGTCACACTAACAAAGGGACAGGTATAATCATAGGGTTTAGGTTCACTTTGAACTGACACTGTAGTAACTGGTTGCTGGCAAGGCAGGTCAACATTTTGGAGTGCTTAACACCAATTTCAAAACAACAGTGAAAATACACTTTAAACAAGGTTGTCATGAAGGCTTAATATAGCCTTCATAAGCTTCACACATAATAAGGCTTCTGCCACATGGAGATCATGTAAGGACCTGTCATATCACCCTTTATATTATGGTATTTGCTTATAAATGGTTTGTGAAACATCTACCCAGCTGTTATAAAGGGCTATGAAGCCTTCATTAAGCTTCAAAGATACAATTGTGACCAAGTTGTTTGTGACCAATCACTATCAGTGAACCGAGGGTTGGGGTCAAAGGGGAGCAGGAACTGGAAGATTTATGTCCTGACACCAGAGGGTTCAAAGCAGGAACTCACAGCTGCCGCAAAGCCACCCAGCAGCTGGAACTCATCTGCATGACCTGGAAAAGCAGACCGTACTGTATTCCTACGGGATCAACACTGTCAGCAGGGACATTCTGGTCTTCCCAGATGACAGATCTGTTCAGGCCTACAAAGAAAACCATCAATATATAAAAAGATGAAGTCATATCGAAAGGATTAGGCTGCTTTTCAATGTGTCTGACACCTGACAGAGCAGTCGGGACATCTTGCTCATTTTGAACAAACGTAAGCTTACTTTCTGTAACAGTTTGGCTGGCATTGAGTCTTTTTAGCTTTTGGAAAAGAGAGAGTTGAGTTGAAATGACTCATTTGTTTCCATAAGCTCATTTTGTAAGCTCTAGACTTTTGGCTGCAACAGTCTACTCTGAGTATTTCCGCATTAACCAGGGAAAATCCATAAAATAGCCATTCATTTCCGCCTGCTGCATCTGCCAGATTCACTGGCATTTGATTGTGGTCCAGACTTTCCCCCTGATTGTTCCAAGTTCGCGTAGATGTGTGACATGGTTTCAGTGTCGGATGTTGCGGTTCACTGCTATCTGGCTTTTGTTCCCCCTGAGGAACGTCTAACAGTCTGGTGAGTCTGCAGTACTAAGAACACAGCGAGACATTCTCTCATTCTCTTAGTCACCTAGAGAAAGTACACGCTGTAGAACAGGAGGAGAAAGCAATCGACTGAGTGAGAAATACTAGTGGTAAATATGCATCAGACGAACTCCACAAAAAGGGGGGCAGCATGCTCTTGCACCGTTGTCACGATTAGCCGGTTTATACAGTGTCTGCTGAAAGCACGGAACCTGTGATGAATTAAGCTGATAGGGGAGGAAAAAGTGAACCACCCACTCCTTACCCTAGGCTGCACTGGGGTTTTTAAGACCGCCCAGCGAACCGCACTTCTCTCCCTGTAAACTTCAAACCCTCCCGACGCCCCCTTTCGAAACCCCAACAGGGAAAATGGCACTTTCCAAACTCTGTGGTCTATGGCTCAGCTAGACATGGCCAGTCGGACGCTTTTTATTCCTCTGTAGTTAACAGAAGTGTATTTACACAGTTACATTTTGTCATGTGTAGATATAGTTAAGCTACTCTTGCCTGTAATAATAGCAATAATAATAATAATAATAATAATAATAATAATACATCTCAATGGTTAGAGAAATAATACATCTACGTGGTTAAGGAAATGCAGTTACGACATGAGATCTGGGATCTGGGAACCAAGGCATTTTCCATCAAAGTCAGTTACTGTTTTTCTGGGATACAGTTTTTTTTTTCTTCTTCTTGTGATTTGCAAAAACATGTGTTTGGATTCATATGAAGATGAGTTTCTTCTTTGTTTGTTCCAGTGTTTTATTGATTCAATTGATCCAAACTTGCATTTTTCACTGAGCAGCAGCCTGGAAACTGGTCATTTAACGGGCACCCAAGTTTAAACAAAGGGTCATTTAACGGGCACCCAAGTTTAAACAAAGTGCTCGCTTTAGTTATGGACAGTACTTGGAGGCAGGACAGCAGAGCTTTATCTCGGGACATTCAGACTCGGCGAATGTCTTACAGTAGATAGAACATAAACGAGCTGGAAACGGCCCGTCCACTTCCTACTGTCTACTGTCCACCGCCTACTGTCTCAAGAGCCTAGACTAGAGACAACACAGCTGGCTCCACAAAGAGGGCCAGAGATAAAGAATGATGATAAAAGGTGTGGCGAACCCTGCTGAGTGCCACGGGGTCGTTATCCGTTATCTCACGCGAGACATGGTGCAGGGCAGGCTCTATGGATCAATGCTGACAGGGAGGGGGAGGGGGTGTTCCATTAACCCCAAATGAGACCTAAGGGTGGGCGTCTGGTGGGGGTGCGGGGGGTTCCCAAGGGGGCGATGAAGGGGGTGAAGTGTGTGTGTGTGGCTGATGGGGGCGACTCATAACCACAGACATTCAACATGGGCAGGAGAAATACCTTGAATTCTGGTACCCTCAATTATAAGATTAGACAATAGCCATTACATTTGATCACTTAGCCATATTGTAGCTTATCCAAGGCTGTAGTTTCCTTTTTAATTTGAGATGGCTATGCAGTCCCCATTGGTGCTATCAGTGACATCATCCCACTGGCTCTCTAGTTATCATGGAATTATTTGCTTTAGTTTGATCCAGTTCCCAAAATAAGAGTATTTGGTTCTCCTTGTCTGTTCTCTCCTCTATTTGTTTAGTAGACCAGTGGTTCCCAAACTGTGGGGGTCGGCAGCGGGGGTGCGGGGGGGGGGACGCGGGGGTCTTGAACATTTTAATAGTAGAATGCACAAGGTGCAATTTCGAAATTGGGTAGTGCATCATCAGTTTGCCTCTTGTCATGTCAGTCATTGCAGACCTTAGAGAGCTATTAATAACTTGTAAGAAATGTCCAGATCAACTAGCCCATGTCAGCTAATGTTTTTTTGCTAGGTTTTTTAGCCCATAGATTTTGTTGTAACGTTTGAGTCACTCAAATACCACATGAATACACATGGTAAGATGTATAGAATTAGACATTACAACATTTATAGAATTACAAGAAAATTACCTTTTAAAACTGCGAAATGTTCACTGCACCCCGTGACAAAATGGATTGAATTACAGGATATAAGCTTTAAACCTGCAAAATGTTCTCTCCACCAACAACTTTGATTTGAACAGTTTGTGTCATGAACAGCGCTTGTCCCATAGAAATAGAGGTGACACGCAGGGGGTGCGGGATGTTCCCCAATGCTGGAAGGGGGTCCTGAGTGAAAAAGTTTGGAAACCCCTGTAGTAGACAACACAGTACTGTGAAGTCAGTATTTCCGTCTACGGCATCCATCTTAGGAAGTCGACAGTTTCAGGCAAAACTCTGCCTGTGGTCGTTTTGTATCTGTTGCGGAGTGAGATAACAGATGGTTCATTTAGCAGATGAGCTAATCTAGAATGATCCGTTACCCCCACAGTGCCAAAGTGATGACATAGCCGACGGCTCAGGCTGTTCCTCCCAGTCAGATCTCACAGCACACTGAGGAAAATAAGCTATAAGTGGAAACATTTTAAAACTATAAAAGTAGCGTCTTGTGAGAGCTGTTGGTCTGGTAGACATGTTCCTCTGGCACTCCGACCAGTCTGAGGCGTGTTCATGTCAAGGGGTTACCTATAAAGCTCAGTGATGCCACCTGGTGTTTAAAATGAGAACAGGTAAAGGGCCTGCAAGTCACCTTTACTCCATCAACTCAGACCGTTGATAAGTTTGTTTAGGTTTTGTGTGTCAGTTGTCATGACTACCTAGAAACACTCTCCTTTCCCCTGTATCTCTCCATCAGGTTGTTGCTTTGAATGAGAATGTGTTCTTTTCAGTCAACTTACTAACCTGGTAAGGTAGAGGTTCGATAAATAACGAAGTAGATAAATATAAATCATAATCAATAAGTATGTGGGTGCAACTGTGGATAAATTGTGTTAAAAACATATGGGAGCTTTTCTTGATATAGCCTACTTTCTGCTGCATTTGGGGCAGTTAGACCAGGTAAACCCATTAAGCTTTGTTGTAAATTCGCATAAGCACTCAAGATGTTTTGTGTTTTATAGTACACCATTACTGTTTAATATCCCTTTTCCACAACTTTTCTGTGTGTGTATTAAACTTTTAGTATTTTATTGGTATATCTATGCGGAGAAATTGTTTATTGGTGGCTGGGTCATTTTTTTGTGAGTCTGTGAGTCAGGTTTTCGAGGCATTCCTTTTGGAGGAAATTACCTCATGTCTGACAGTGGGGAGACTTTACTACAACCGACAGTCACCTTTTCCAGAACCCTCTTTTGCCTGCAGTTGAACTGAGATTTTATCCAGTACATAATGGAAAACATATGTTCCACATCACTGCTAAACACAGTTACCTGTTGTTGATTTATGATACAGAATAATTAGATTATGTTACACTAACATTGCATTTATTCTTCTGTGTTTATGTGTCCAATTGGGTTTGTGTTAATTTTGTTGTTGGTGATACTGCATGCCAGTAAAGACAGCAAAAGGTTTTGCGATGTCAGAGTCCAAGGAGGAAACCTGCAATCTATCATGAAGCCACACATGAAGCCAATAGGAAGAGAGCTATGAGAACATGTTCACAAGCCACTAAAGAAGTCTGAAGTATAACATTTAACCAGGGCTTCGCTTTCAATGACTAGTGTCTTCATGTTGATCTTTCTCAGTTCTGGACTGTAGCATTTATCACATTTTTCAACATGTAACATCTATTTTAATGTACTAACCCAGAACGAGGCATCCTCTTTGCCTTCTGCCTATGAGTGTAGCATCTAGCTATAACACATTGTACAAATGAACAATGACACCACATCATCTTTAAGGTGAATTTTAAGAGCAGTGGTCTACATTTTTGCGTTCAACTTCTTCCTGTCCCTGTTCTCATCAATTTATTCACAGAAAAGCAGATCTCTCTAATATGCTCCTCCCCATCACAGTTCCTTTCTGTTGCTCACGTTCCCTCTCTGACCTTTCCTGTCTGACCTTTCCTCTCTGACCTATCCTGTCTGACCTTTCCTGTCTGACCTTTTCCTGTCTGGCCTTTCCTGTCTGTCCCGCCCTCCACAGGAGATGACCTGGGCTGCACGGTCGACGGCCAGGTGTACACCAACCGAGACATTTGGAAACCAGAGCCATGTCGGATCTGCGTGTGCGACAGTGGCGCCGTCCTGTGCGACGAGATCCAGTGCGATGAGCTGTCCAACTGTGAGAAGGTGACCATCCCCGAGGGCGAGTGCTGTCCCATCTGCCAGAGCGAGGGCAGCACAGACACCAGTGGCAACGGCAGACCTGGTGAGCGGTCGGAAAGCGTAACCCGAAATTTGTAGTAACCCGAAGTCATGACAAAGGCATATTTTTCTTATGAGAGAACCCAGTGTGAACTGTCATTGAATGTGTAACTACTAATGTAACTACATATTATTATATTAGGTGCCATTACAGTGACTTGCGAAAGTATTCACCCCCTTGGCATTTTTCTTATTTTGTTGCCTTATAGCCTGGAATTAAAATGGATTTTTTGGGGGGTTTGTATCATTTGATTTACACAACATGCCTACGACTTTGAGGATGCAAAGTATATTTTATTGTGAAACAAACAAGAAATAAGACAAAAAAACAGAACATGAGCGTGAATAACTATTCACCCTGCCTAAAGTCAATACTTTGTAGAGCCACCTATTGCAGCAATTACAGCTGCAAGTCTCTTGGGGTATGTCTCTATAACCTTGGCACATCTAGCCACTGGGATTTTTGCCCATTCTTCAAGGCAAAACTGCTCCAGCTCCTTCAAGTTGGATGGGTTCTGCTGGTGTACAGCAATCGTTAAGTCATACCACAGATTCTCAATTGGATTGAGGTCTGGGCTTTGACTAGGCCATTCCAAGACATTTAAATGTTTCCCCTTAAACCACTCGAGTGTTGCTTTAGCAGTATGCTTAGGGTCATTATTCTGCTGGAAGGTGAACCTCCGTTCCAGTCTCAAATCTCTGGAAGACTGAAACAGGTTTCCCTCAAGGATTTCCCTGTATTTAGCGCCATCCATCATTCCTTCAATTCTGACCAGTTTCCCAGTCCCTGCCGATGGTGTTCTCGGGGTGATGAGAGGCGTTGGGTTTGCGCCAGACATAGCGTTCTCCTTGATGGCCAAAAAGCTCAATTTTTGTCTCATCTGACCAGAGTACCTTCTTCCATATGTTTGGGGAGTCTCCCACATGCCTTTTGGCGAACACCAAATGTGTTTGCTTATTTATTTCTTGAAACAATGGCTTTTTTTCTGGCCACTCTTCAGTAAAGCCCAGCTCTGTGGAGTGTATGGCTTAAAGTGGTCCTATGGACAGATACTCCAATCTCCGCTGTGGAGCTTTGCAGCTCCTTCAGGGTTATCTTTGGTCTCTTTGTTGCCTCTCTGATTAATGCCCACCTTGCCTGGTCCGTGAGTTTTGTTGGGCAGCCCTCTCTTGGCAGGTTATTTTTTAATAATGGATTTAATGGTGCTCTGTGGGATGTTTAAAGTTTCGGATATTTTTTTATAACCCAACCCTGATCTGTACTTCTCCACAACTTTGTCCCTGACCTGTTTGGAGAGCTCCTTGGTTTTCATGGTGCCGCTTGCTTGGTGGTGCCCCTTGCTTAGTGGTGTTGCAGACTCTGGGGCCTTTCAGAACAGGTGTATATGTACTGAGATCATGTGACAGATCATGTGACACTTAGATGCACACAGGTGGACTTTATTTAACAAATTATGTGACTTCTGAATGTAATTGGTTGCACCAGATCTTATTTAGGGGCTTCATAGCAAAGGTGATGAATACATATGCACGCACCACTTTTCCGTTATTTATTTCTTTGAATTTTTTGAAACAAGTTATTTTTTTTCATTTCACTTCACCAATTTGGACTATTTTGTGTATGTCCATTACATGAAATCCAAATAAAAATCCATTTAAATTACAGGTTGTAATGCAACAAAATAGGAAAAACTCCAAGGGGGATGAATACTTTTGCAAGGCACTGTATGTCTCATCTCAAAATAAGTAGCAACGTATGGCAGGCCCCTGTTTGTCTTGTAAAGTAAACATAAATCTATGTGCACCATCTCCATGTCAACCCAGTGCTTTACTATGAAGAAAATAAGAGTTAACTCCACTAATGACAATGCAGTAAATGTAGACTAGAGGCTTTTGTAAGATAATTCTTTGTTAATGTCTGTTCTGTCATTTTCAGACGGTGGCAGAGTCTACAGGGTAAGCTTTAGGATCTCCATGTGATTATTAAACATATTTACAATATCTTATGACTAACTTGATTTCAACGGTAAAGCAACATCTGTCATCTTGCTCTTTGTTTATAGGGTCAGAAAGGAGAACCTGGAGATGTACCGCAGGTGACTGGGATCAGAGGTCGTCCTGGGCCTATGGTAAGCTTACAGGTCACTTTGTTTTCAGAGTCTATTATAAACTGAGTTTGTGATGTGGTGCTTTGTCGAGATTCACCAACATATAGCGTTAAGGTTTACGTTTTTTTAACAGTTGTTTTTCACTTGTGGTGTGGATTTTGTAAGACTCTTTGAGTCAACTCTAGATGGCAGAAGAGCACAGTTACCTATAACTTGACCTGAAAGGATTCCTGTGTAGTGCAACTGTACTTGACATAGCATCAATAATGACTTTGCGCCAGTTCAGTGATGATGTCATCATGTGATTAATGAAGAGACACTAGTGTGGCTTTTTTCATCCGTTCTTTTTGTCCCACAACAGGGGCCTCCCGGGTCGCCTGGATTCAGAGGGGACAGAGGCCAGACTGGAAGACCTGTACGTTCCAAACATGACTTGTGAAAACACACAAACATCTAGGATGCATATACATCATGCTGTAGCTACGCTGGAGTTCTGTAATGTATACTTATTTACATTGGCACATTGACAATAAATGTAAAAAGAAACAGTGAGTTTCAATTAAAGTCGGATCTTTGCCAAATCTCAAAGTCCTTTATCATTCCTTTTCCTGGGTCTAACCCAATAGTATGATCACCCACCCCTTTTCTGTGACACCCCCTCCGAAGTGATCCATTTGGCCCCAACTTTCCAGTCCACACAGAGCTTGTCTTATAAAAAGACAATGTCATGTAGCTTGATTTGGAAAATATGTTTAAGGCATATTCACTCTTTATATAATGGCAGGTATAACACAGTCTTCATGCTATCTCCAGGCTGAGACATGATAATAAACCTTCTACTCAGTTTCAATTGAATTAGGATATTTCAGAGAAGCAACTAATGTATGTGATTATGAACAGAAGATAATTACAGTGGGGAAAAAAAGTAATTAGTCAGCCACCAATTGTGCAAGTTCTCCCACTTAAAAAGATGAGAGGCCTGTAATTTTCATCATAGGTACACGTCAACTATGACAGACAAAATGAGAAGAAAAAAATCCAGAAAATCACATTGTAGGATTTTTTATGAATTTATTTGCAAATTATGGTGGAAAATAAGTATTTGGTCAATAACAAAAGTTTCTCAATACTTTGTTATATACCCTTTGTTGGCAATGACACAGGTCAAACGTTTTCTGTAAGTCTTCACAAGGTTTTCACACACTGTTGCTGGTATTTTGGCCCATTCCTCCATGCAGATCTCCTCTAGAGCAGTGATGTTTTGGGGCTATGGCTGGGCAACACGGACTTTCAACTCCCTCCAAAGATTTTCTATGGGGTTGAGATCTGGAGACTGGCTAGGCCACTCCAGGACCTTGAAATGCTTCTTACGAAGCCACTCCTTCGTTGCCCGGGCGGTGTGTTTGGGATCATTGTCATGCTGAAAGACCCAGCCACGTTTCATCTTCAATGCCCTTGCTGATGGAAGGAGGTTTTCACTCAAAATCTCACGATACATGGCCCCATTCATTCTTTCCTTTACACGGATCAGTCGTCCTGGTCCCTTTGCAGAAAAACAGCCCCAAAGCATGATGTTTCCACCCCCATGCTTCACAGTAGGTATGGTGTTCTTTGGATGCAACTCAGCATTCTTTGTCCTCCAAACACGACGAGTTGAGTTTTTACCAAAAAGTTATATTTTGGTTTCATCTGACCATATGACATTCTCCCAATCCTCTTCTGGATCATCCAAATGCACTCTAGCAAACTTCAGACGGGCCTGGACATGTACTGGCTTAAGCAGGGGGACACGTCTGGCACTGCAGGATTTGAGTCCCTGGCGGCGTAGTGTGTTACTGATGGTAGGCTTTGTTACTTTGGTCCCAGCTCTCTGCAGGTCATTCACTAGGTCCCCCCGTGTGGTTCTGGGATTTTTTGTGATCATTTTGACCCCACGGGGTAAGATCTTGCGTGGAGCCCGAGATAGAGGGAGATTATCAGTGGTCTTGTATGTCTTCCATTTCCTAATAATTGCTCCCACAGTTGATTTCTTCAATCCAAGCTGCTTACCTATTGCATATTCAGTCTTCCCAGCCTGGTGCAGGTCTACAATTTTGTTTCTGGTGTCCTTTGACAGCTCTTTGGTCTTGGCCATAATGGAGTTTGGAGTGTGACTGTTTGAGGTTGTGGACAGGTGTCTTTTATACTGATAACAAGTTCAAACAGGTGCCATTAATACAGGTAACGAGTGGAGGACAGGGGAGCCTCTTAAAGACGAAGTTACAGGTCTGTGAGAGCCAGAAATCTTGCTTGTTTGTAGGTGACCAAATACTTATTTTCCACCATAATTTGCAAATAAATTCATAAAAAATCCTACAATGTGATTTTCTGGAGAAATAAATTCTCAATTTGTCTGTCATAGTTGACGTGTACCTATGATGAAAATTACAGGCCTCTCTCATCTTTTTAAGTAGGAGAACTTGCACGATTTTTTTTTTTTATCAATGGCTTTCATTGTCGTGCTCAAATAGAATACAGTATCCTCAAAGATAATCAACAGTACATGACATGCTAAAGATTTTAGACAAACAATTATATACTGTGCACTGTGTGGATATTGTACTCTTTGATGAAAAAACACTGTGATAAAAAAAAGTCAACACACCATTTATTTTACATTATCATTAGAATGGGCTCCCGAAAGACCCATTCCGCAAACGTGTTCATTCCATTTAAATTCAGTTCGCAAACAAAAACCTAAATGATAAATGAATACGCCCCCCTCATTGGAATGCTGAAGCTGTTGAGGGCATACATTTAGCAGAACATCATGAATATTTATGATTTATTACATAATATGTCCTTCGTCTGCCTCTCATGTTAGGTTTGTCAAGCATAAGCTGTAATGATTTATTTCTTCTCATTGTGGCCATTTTCATCATCCACTGTTATTGTGTATCAACTAGAAAACATGCGTTTAGAACACAAGGCAACATGAATGTCGACACATTATTTTACTAAACATAAACGGAGATCCATAACTCAGGGGTCACTGATATCAATACATGAGTTGAGAAAAAATTTGGTTTACACAGTAACAAGTTACGATTTGGCACTTAATGAATGACACAGTATTTTACCTGTAATGAGTTGCTTCATCCTGCTTATATTAACATGACATTATCTATCTAAAGGGGCAGCGTGGACCAGCAGGATATGACGGAGAGCCTGGTGTGCCTGGAAACCCAGGAGAGCCAGGGCCTGCAGGAAACCAAGGTCCTCCAGGAGTATGTACCACAATACCTACCCCTCATAAACATGTATCATCTCAAATGTAACCCTTTATAAAGGCAACGTTATTGTTAAGCGTTACCCTCATATAGTGAATTCTCACTAGCTAGCTTTGACACTGTGCTGGATTGGCAATGGATAAATTCAATGCCAAACATGTTAGTCATGTTTTTACAATCAATAGTTCTATTAACGTCGTGCTACCAGTGGGGTTAAATGATACCCTCCAAAATGTACATAAATGTGTATATACAGTATATTTTTTAAAGGATATATCCATGCGCAAAAGTGTTCCATACAGAGGTGGAATCATCTCTCCCTGTGCTGTTCCACTGTTACCTTCACTGGTAAGATATTTAGAAGGTAGAGATCAGACCAATTGCTCATTTATGGAAAGACTTTCTCTGTGAAAGTGTGTGTGATCGTGTGAAGACGTTAATTGTTATCAGGGTCAAAGAACGTCAGCTTTCCTCCATCCCAGTCCAGCATCATTCTGATCCTCTGGGGCATCTGTGTCACTGTGAGAATGATGTGCTCCTCAGGTATGGACAGGATGCTGTAAACACCTCCCGTTAATGTACTGCTCTTAACCTCCACCACCCAGCTGTGTATCCCTGAGTCGAAGCCCTCAGAGCCCAGAACCCCTTCGTGGTGATTGAACCTCTCTGGGTTGTCAGGTTGAGGATCCGTCTGGTCAGTCTCAAAACAGAGAGAGTCTCTGAGTCGAAACCTTACCAGGTCATGATACACCAGCAGGTCTGGGTGGGCAGTGTTTGGGTCCAGGGTCACAGGAAAGTATGGCACAATCCCCTGCAGCTTCTCCCATATTCTGAACTGCAGGTTGCCCAGGTGATTGCCCACGTTTATTAGTGATCCTGAGTGCAGCTGTGGATCCGCTAGTGTGGACTGGGATCTGGCCATGTATAGAATGTCCTTGTATCTCTGCAGGAAGGGGATGTGGTCACCCTCTAGACACTCCTCTACGGCTCTGATCGGATCTGAAAGATTTGAGATAACTTTGGTCATCTCTTCAGTCTTCTTATTTACCATCCAAATTGTCTCCTCTTCCTCCCTCAGAGCACATATCCTGGCCTCCTCTTCATCTAGTAGAATTTTCCGAAGATCATCAAACTCTATCCTGATCTGCATGTGTGTAAAATCTTAATGTACTTTGCTGTTTGATCACAGGTTACTTTGGCTTCAGTAAAAAGACCCAGCTTCTCCTTCAAGGTCTCCAGTTCAACCTTTTTCCTTGTGTTCTTGGACATCATCTATGGGACAGAACTTGTGGCCTGTGCGTGTTCTTGAATCCTGACACACCAAACAGACAGGATGTTGATCCCCCCAGACAGAAGAGCTTGAGTTTCTTTTTGTGCCGAGTGCAGAGTCTCTCAGACCCGGCTGCATCTCTGGATCTCTGCCTCTGCTGTAGGAAGCCCTCACACAGCCTCTTCAGGGTAAGGCTCACTGCTGGAAAAGGCATTGAGGAGATCCTCCTGCAGACTGGACACTCCTGGTCTTCCTTACGTTTTCCAGTACTCCTCGAGGCACGTTTTTCTGGCGCTGTGGCTACTGTACAAAACCACAGGATCCCTGAAGATGTCACAGCACACAGGACAGGAGAAATCATCTTCTAGAATCTGGCCTATTGAGAAACATAGTATGGAAACAAGAAAAACACACCTGGCTGTTACCTGGCCTATTGAGAAACATATTATGGAAACAAGAAAAACACACCTGGCCGTTACCTGGCCTATTGAGAAACATAGTATGGAGACAGGAAAAACACACCTGGCTTTTACCTGGCCTATTGAGAAACATAGTATGGAGACAGGAAAAACACACCTGGCCGTTACCTGGCCTATTGAGAAACATAGTATGGAGACAGGAAAAACACACCTGGCTTTTACCTGGCCTATTGAGAAACATAGTATGGAGACAGGAAAAACACACCTGGCCGTTACCTGGCCTAATGAGAAACATAGTATGGAGACAGGAAAAACACCTGGCCGTTACCTGGCCTATTGAGAAACATAGTATGGAGACAGGAAAAACACACATGGCCGTTACCTGGCCTATTGAGAAACATAGTATGGAGACAGGAAAAACACACCTGGCTGTTACCTGGCCTATTGTAATGCTTAGTGGCCTCTGAGTTTCATGTTGAATATCCAATACTGTAAATCACTGTTCTGTTTCCCCAGGGACTGGGAGCTCAGATGGCTGGAGGCTTTGGGGATGAGAAATCAGCCGGCCAAACGGCCATGGTGCCAGGAACTAGGGTAAGAAGGGTGCAGTGGAAACATCTTAGGTCACACAAGTTTCTTGTGCCGTATTTCTTTACTATGGCTTGGATCATTTAACTTATGTGCTGATGTTGGTGTATTTTTGGAATTTGTTGAACTGTGGGGCTCATACTGTTTCTGATTCTGTGTGCAATTATGCAATGTGTGTTTTAGGGAGAGTCAGGAGCAAGAGGACCTCCTGGGCCAAATGGAAACCCTGTAAGTTAAAAACTACTCATGAAAATAATATTTAAAACAATTATATTTGGAGCAAGCCGTTCACTCTGTTTGTTCTCTCTCTCTCTCTCTCTCTCTCTCTCTCTCTCTCTCTCTCTCTCTCTCTCTCTCTCTCTCTCTCTCTCTCTCTGTCTGTCTGTCTGTCTGTCTGTCTGTCTGTCTGTCTGTCTGTCTGTCTGTCTGTCTGTCTGTCTGTCTGTCTGTCTGTCTGTCTGTCTGTCTGTCTGTCTGTCTGTGTCTCTCTCTCTCTCTCTCTCTCTCTCTCTCTCTCAGGGCCATTCTGGACCACAAGGAGCCCCTGGGGAAGTCGGTGATCCAGGTCACATGGTATGATAACATTCTCCTTGTCATGTTTCTGGTCCGGTGTTCCCTGTTTGTTGCGACCATTCTCAACAAAGTGTCTATAAAGAATAGCACCTTGAGTCATGTTGGCACCACAGTAGTCACATCCATCTTCTTGAAAACAAACAACACAAAAGAATATGTGCAACTGTTTATGTTGACCATTTAATCTCCTGGTAACACTTTACATACAGCTAACAGGTATAATATATTATGATGCCGTTCTAATGCATTGTAGCACATGCAATTAGCATGTATGACCCCCTTATATAATGTCTTATCATAATCTTCTGTTGTAGGGTCCATCTGGACAAAGGGGACCTGAAGGGCCACCTGGAAAGCCAGGTGAAGACGTGAGTAAACTCTCATCTCTGTTCACCAGATGTACTGACGCCAACCTTTATATCAAATACATGGTTTTAATGGACTGGTGGTAATGTCAGTGGCCTCATGATGAGTCTGTTGTGAAGAATGCTGGTTTGAAATGTAGGTCCGCCATGGCAAAGATGGACTGCATTCCATATGCTCTGTGTCACAATAACCTTCCCAACAGAAACAATCTCAAAAGACATGAACATACTAGATAGAAGGCTTGCTAACCTCAACCCTGATGTGTAAGAAACACCAGCCTTTATACTTTTAGTAAATGGCACTGTTGCTCATCTATTGTGATGTCATCCTAGGGAGAAGCAGGGAAAGCTGGAAATTCAGGAGAGATGGGTTTCCCTGGATCAGCGGTAAGTTATATATCAATAGAAGTGTTACGCTTGAAATTATTACTAAAATGACTGGAATACTGTACTCAAATACCATGCAATGTATTTCAGGGAGCTAGAGGATTTCCAGGGACACCTGGGCCTCCAGGACTGAAAGGCCATAGAGTAAGTACAACAGCCCCAATATTATTATATTGCCTATGTAGAGCTCTGAGCTAACGCCATCATTAAAACACCATACAAATGAAATATTACTATTATTATTATTATTGTTGTTGTTAATGGAGAAATACACATTCCTTCTTTCAGGGTCACGCAGGTCCAATGGGTCTAAGAGGAGAAACTGGAACTGTAGGATCCAAGGTAGAACATCTACATATTATATTATAACTGACTGCTTTTATAACTGACAGTGATATTCATCTACATATTATGTTATAACTGACTGGTTTTATGATTCATATAGACACAATAGTTATTTCTAGTCATGATACATCAGTTTCGTATATATAATAAGTATAGCTATGCATACTGTAGATCAGGGTGTCAAACTCATTCCATGGAGGGCCGAGTGTCTGCAGGTTTTCTTGAAATTAAGACCTAGACAACCAGGTGAGGGGAGTTCCTTACTAATTTGTGACATTCATTTTTGTTGTATTTATTAAGGAGCCCCATTAGCTGCTACTCTTCCTGGGGTCCAGCAACATTAAGGCAGTTATACAACATTAAGGCAGATCTACAATATTAAGGCAGATCTACAATATTATGGCAGTTCTACAATATCAAGGCAGATCTACAATATCAAGGCAGTTATATACAATACAAAATATTACATTACAATTCATAACACTTTTCACAACACATCAAGTGTGTGCCCTCAGGCCACTACTCTACTATCACATATCTACAACACAAAATGTGTATGTGTGTATAGAGTGTGTGTGTGTGTTATCATGTGTATGTGTGTGTCTGTGTCTTAACTCATCAATCAAGCACAAGGGTGGAGCGAAAAACCGCAGACACTCGGCCCTCCGTGGAATGAGTTTGACACGTGCTGTGGAGTATTGCAAAGCATGTATTGATGAATGCAATGTTTCTGTCATTGATCTTTTAGGGTGCATTAGGTCCCACTGGTCCGATTGGCACACCTGGCCCTATGGTAAGTGGAACATATTTTAAATATACAGTATTGTGTACTAACAACTTATGCTGTCTCTGACAAAATGCAATTTTAAGCAAAGACCACTGAGATAAAGAGAGCAACTGTTATGTTGATAGCAATTTACTATTGGTTCTTTTAGAAGTTACTCCTCAACTTCTGCACCAATCAAAAAAGATAAGAAAGGTGAAAGTAAAATGGTGGATGCCTACCTGGTGTTGGCTTTGACCAGTCCAGATTCTTCATAGTGTAATGCAGAATAATGAAGGGAGTCAAGCAGAGGAAGCCAGTATGTGGATGCAGCACATGACCAGAAGCTGTACTGCTAGATTACCTTTGGCTTTAATTTCTTTCAGCTGTCTAAAATAAACAATGCAATATGCATAACTAACAGGCATAGTTAAATGAATACATTATTTAAAAATGCAATGACAAAATTTTTTTCAAATGATGAATTCCTGTTAGTAGAAGCCTATTTAATAAGACATGAAGCAATGGTATTGCTTCATGGTTGCTCTGGAGTAGCAGTTGGACCTATTTGTAGGACTGTAGAACAGTGCTTCATGGTTGCTCTGGAGTAGCAGTTGGACCTATTTGTAGGACTGTAGAACAGTTTAGTCCTAGTGTATCAAATCACTGCCAATTAACACCTCCTTTCTTCACCTTTTTACTTTAACTTTTTTTTTTGTTACATTTATTTGTTTATTGCTGTGCCACTGTAAAAGTAATCATGATGTATTGCTTCGTAGGGCCCTAGAGGCATGCCTGGGGAGAGAGGCCGCTTAGGAGCTAACGGAGTACCAGTAAGAATGATAACTTATAATAAAGTGCATTATTCCACACAGCCCTTAATAGCGTTCTCTGATGCATCGCTCCTTTTTCAAATCAAATCAAATCAGATTTCATTTGTCACATACACGTGTTTAGCAGTTGTTATAGCGGGTGAAGCGAAATGCTTGTGCTTCTAGCTCCGACAGTGCAGTAATATCTAACAATTTTCACAACATATACACACAAAAAAAAGTAAGGAATGGGATTTAAGAATATATACATATATGGACAAGCAATGCCAGAGCGGCATGGACTAAGATACAGAAGATTATTATAGAATAGAATGCAGTATATACATATGAGATGAGTAGTGCAAGATATGTAAACATTATTATTTATTATTATTTATTATTAAAGTGACTAGTGTTCCATTTCTTAAAGTGGCCATATATACTGTGCAAGGGTATACAATGAATGTCTCAAGATAACAAGCTACAGTGGCTTGCGAAAGTATTCACCCCACTTGGCATTTTTCCTATTTCATTGCCTTACAACCTGGAATAATAAAAAATAAAAACTTGGGGGTTGTATCATTTGATTTACACAACATGCCTACCACTTTGAAGATGCAAAATAATTTTTAAGCTTGGCACATCTAGCCACTGGGATTTTTGTCCATTCTTCAAGGCAAAACTGCTCCAGCTCCTTCAAGTTGGATGGGTTCCGCTGGTGTACAGCAATCTTTAATTCATACCACAGATTTTCAATTGGATTGAGGTCTGGGCTTTGACTAGGCCATTCCAATACATTTTAAATGTTTTCCCTTAAACCACTCAAATGTTGCTTTAGCAGTATGCTTAGGGTCATTGTCCTGCTGGAAGGTGAACCTCCGTCCCAGTCTCAAATCTCTGGAAGACTGAAACAGGTTTCCCTCAAGAATTTCCCTGTATTTAGTGCCATCCATCATTCCTTCAATTCTGACCAGTTTCCCAGTCCCTGCAGATGAAAAACATCCCCACAGTGAAGCATGGTGGTGGCAGCATCATGCTGTGGGGATGTTTTTCATGGTGTTCTTGGGTTGATGAGAGGTGTTGGGTTTGCGCCAGACATAGCGTTTTCCTTGATGGCCAAAAAGCCATCTGACCAGAGTACCTTCTTCCATATGTTTGGGGAGTCTCCCACATGCCTTTTGGTGAACACCAAACATGTTTGCTTATTTTTTTCTTTAAGCAATGGCTTTTTTCTGGCCACTCTTCTGTAAAGCCCAGCTCTGTGGAGTGTACGGCTTAAAGTGGTCCTATGGACAGATACTCCAATCTCCGCTGTGGAGCTTTGCAGCTCCTTCAGGGTTATCTTTGGTCTCTTTGTTGCCTCTCTGATTAATGCCCACCTTGCCTGGTCCGTGAGTTTTAGTGGGCTGACCTCTCTTGGCAGGTTTGTAGTGGTGCCATATTCTTTCCAAAAAAATTTTTACAATGGATTTAATGGTGCTCTGTGGGATGTTTAAAGTTTCCGATATTTTTTTATAACCCAACCCTGATCTGTACTTCTCCACAACTTTATCCATGACCTGTTTGGAGAGCTCCTTGGTCTTCATCAGGGTTCTTCAATTCCGGTCCTGGAGGGCCGAAACACTTCTGTTTTTTATTTCTACCTGGTAGTTAATTGCACTCACCTGGTGTCCCAGATCTGAATTAGCCCCTGATTAGAAGGAGAGGATGAAAAACAGAGATGTTTCGGCCCTCCAGGACCGGAATTGAAGAACCCTGGTCTTCATGGTGCTGCTTGCTTGGTGGTGCCCCTTGCTTAGTGGTGTTGCAGACTCTGGGGCATTTCAGAACAGGTGTATGTATACTGAGATCATGTGACACTTAGATTGCACACAGATGGACTTTATTTAACTAATTATGTGACTTCTGAAGGTAATTGGTTGCACCAGATCTTATTTAGGGCCTTCATAGCAAAGGGGGTGAATACATATGCACGCACCACTTTTCCATTATTTATTTCTTAGAATTTTTTGAAACAAGTTTTTTTTAATTTTTTTTCACTTCACCAATTTGGACTATTTTGTGTATGTCCATTACATGAAATCCAAATAAAATCCATTTAAATTACAGGTTGTAATGCAACAAAATAGGAAAAACTCCAAGGGGGATGAATATTTTTGCAAGGCAATGTATTGTTATGTTCACCTAGAGTGCTCAATTATTTATTCAAATATATTTTACGGTCATATAGAGTCTTTGACTAGTGCACAGAATACACATTTCCGATGTATGTCTTTACAAGAATTGACGATTGTATTCCTACGTGAATCCAATTAATTATTTGTTTTTTATGGTAGGGTATGAAAGGTCCTCCTGGGAACATTGGTAAACCAGGTCCGATGGTAAGACAACCAGACGTATCTCATTATCTACTGTGTATGAAATTCATAGAATAACTGGAGTTGCTACTAGCATATTACAGCTTTTCAGCAATTCATAAATTAAACTTTTCTGGTTTTATGCTTGCAGGGTCCGTTAGGTATCAATGGTCCTCCAGGATATCCAGGAATTCCAGGAATGAAGGCAAGTAGAACATAAAGTATTCAAGCCATGTTCAAATCTACGTGATATAAATAGTGACTTCGGAGGTTGTATATGTAATGTTGTATACAGCATGTTGTATATGTAACCTAATAACAGATATAGCTAGCTAATAAGGTAATGCAGGTCTATATACATAAAATGGACTCATTGAGGATTTCTGTTTCTACTCTCCAGGGCCAACCAGGTGCCACAGGAGTGCGGGGCCCTGAGGGGCAACAGGGCCAGAGGGGTGAGACAGGACACCAAGGCAGGGCAGGGGCAACTGGCCTACAAGTACGGCTCTTATTTCTAACACCTGCTCTATTTATTAAAGGTCCAATGCAGCCATTTTTATCAATTTAAGTACCTTACTGTGATTTTTTTTTCACTGAAAATGGTCAAAAAGAAACAAAAATAGCTTCTAGCAAAGAGTAATTTCTCAATTTTGCTAGGACTGTCTCGGAGTGGTCTGAGTAGGGAGGGGAAAACTGAAAACTAGCTGTTATTGGCAGAGAGGTTTGGAACTCTCTTTCATATTGGTCTATCTACTAATGATGGTGATGTCACCAGGCAGACCAAAACTCCATCCCATCAAAACAGGCAGAAATTTCAGGCGGTCTTTTCAAACAGCTCTTTACACTAAAAGGCATTATCATGATTTTCACAATTTCACAGTATTATTCCAACCTCATAGTGTGAAAATATATATAAAACACAGGAAAATCACGTTTTTGACAGCACTGGGCCTTTAACATGCTTATATGGTGCAATGCATTATGGTAATGCACATAAGACTTGATTAATATGACATATTTGCAATTTCTAGGGTCCTTCAGGAACTGACGGTGGCCCAGGTACTAAGGGTCCAGTGGTATGTATATTATCATTAATCGAGTACTCCTAATTTCCCATTAAATAATTTGTTGTTAAACATAATTGTAATTTCAAATAGTATACCTAAAGTATTTAAAGACGTATATGATCAAGATTGAGGTGTATTGAGAGATGCTCCTGTTGTTTTGTAGGGTAGCATGGGTGTACAGGGTCCCGGGGGTCACCTGGGACCCCATGGTCCACCAGGACCTCAGGGAAGCACTGGACAGCCTGGGATCAAAGGTCAACTGGTAATGTTGCGTCTGTTTACTTTGGATAAAAGTATTTTTTTTTCTGCTCATGCGAGGTCCAGACATTCATGTACCTTATACATGTATAAATACACTGTCAATGTTATGACATGCACGCTCTAGACATAAACATCGCTCGGTGTTACTTTGACCTTTACCGAAGCATACACGACATGGCCCAGAGCGCCTTCTAAGCAATGTACCATTACTGCAAAATAGTTGTTTTGACTGTTTGACAAGGGGATGGGAATATTGTTTTTCATTTTTTTGATGCATTATCTATAATAAAATGTGACTTGTGATATACTTATGCCTCTCACATTTTTGTTTCAGGGAGATGTTGGTGTACCTGGGTACAAAGGAGAGGCCGGACCCAAAGGAGAATCTGTAAGCCCAAATAATGTGACCTTTCACAGAGAACATGTACTGTATTTATTATTTTATACACAGGGCTTGTTATATTGTACAATAATGTACATTATTCCACATTGGATGAAAGAGAGACACTGTCATAGCTGGGACAGAGTGTATTGAGATGGTTGGATGTCAAGTGTATTTGAAATAAAGTTTGTTTTGACTCCTAGGGTCCCCCTGGTTCCCAAGGTGTGATTGGGCCCCAGGGCGAGGAGGGAAAGAGAGGAACTCGGGGTGACTCTGGTTCGTTAGGACCACCGGGTCCTGTTGGTGAGCGGGTGAGTCTACCGTTAAGTCTATTACTGAACACCTCTACATTATAAGGATTTAGGTCAGTGACTGTAAATTCAGACTTCTCAGGATGGATTTCAGCCCTCCATTCTCATTTACCTCAGTTCATCCTCCATGGATATGTCCTCAACCCTGTGCAGGAAAAATGTATATTGTTTCATAGGTTGTAATCTTGGTACCTGTATATCCTATGTGTCTGTATTTCAGGGGTCTCCTGGTAACAGAGGTTTTCCCGGTGCTGATGGATTACCTGGACCTAAGGTACAGACAGATGATCAGAGATCTATTACAGTTAAAACTGGTGGTCATTAGAGTGGATTCTCAGGACTAGACCCCCAGCCCAAACCTAATTCACTATACTGTTTCTCCTGAAGGGTGCTCAAGGAGATCGTGGACCTTCTGGCATATCTGGCCCTAAAGGTTCAGGAGGAGATCCCGGGCGCACTGGCGAACCTGGCCTCCCAGGCGCAAGGGTAATGTGAAGACATCATTCTAGCTTTCCAAGATTCCCTCATTTACTTATATCCCATATCTATATCTCAAAACCCAACAATGCTGATGGGAATCTGTCTTGGTGTGTCACATACTGTGGATCTTTGTTTCTGACCTTGTCTGTTGTTTTATAGGGTCTGACAGGCACCCCAGGAGTCCAGGGAGCCGAGGGCAAGCCAGGACCACTGGTAAGGTTGACCATAGGTGGATAAAAAGAGTGTTTGCACACATCCAACTTAATACAACTTTTTAAAAAACAGCAGAGAAAAAGGTCATGCACTCAGTGATTGCCACAGCTCCAACAAGTGTTCTAAATTATTTCACTGATATACCTACAAGGTTTAGACCGACAGGGTCTATTTGTCAGTTGATCAGTACCTCTTTTCGAGGTTTGACCATTGGCATCAGATGTCGTAACACTGAATGAACAGCAAGAGGTAAGAGTTGTGCTTGTGTCCTCTGTCTGAAGGGCCCAGCAGGAGAAGATGGCCGCCCAGGACCAGCAGGGTCTATTGGAACCAGAGGTCCTGCAGGAACCATGGGAACACCTGGACCAAAGGGCTTTAACGTAAGGAACTTTGAAAGTTCTAACCTTCTCAGCGTCTTGCTATCAAACTTGTCCTATCTCCTCATGACCTCTTGAATGACCCCTTGTCTTTTCAACCCAAAGGGAGATCCAGGGAAGACAGGTGAACAAGGATCTGCGGGAGTGGCAGGACAAAGAGTGAGTGTCTTTGTCAATGAGCACTAAATGACCTCTGTGAGGACCATCACTAATGATGACTTCCTTTCTAGGGTCCTCCTGGGAAAGATGGGGAGGTTGGCCCTGCAGGTCCCGCTGGCCCTCCGGTAAGTCACCTGTTTGGCTCTGATTATCATGACTAATCATGACTGATTATCTAGTAGCATTGTGGTATAGACATTGCCCATCTCATTTCAAGGTATGCTGTATCACAATATACTCATCTTGATGAACGATTGCGTGAACATGTTCTGTAAACTGTTTGGAAAGAGTTCTAATGATTCATTCTTTGTCTGAAGGGTGTTGCTGGTGACAGAGGAGAAATGGGACCTCCCGGTGTGAACGGCTTCCAGGTGGGTTATCATACATTTTTACCAATGGCATTAAGAACGGTGAACTAGCTAGCAACGGCTGATTACTGAAAGTGTCAGCAAAGCTTGTAATTTATATGGGATTGAACCAACTGCGCGCTGTTATCGTCATCTGAAGTGTATATGCTGTTGTGTTTCAGGGATTACCTGGACCTCCAGGCCCCCCTGGAGAGTCAGGAAAACCAGGTGATCTGGTGAGTTTGATGAACAATATACAGTATATGCCATTTACCAGACTATTTTATCCAAAGTGATTACAGTCATGCATGCATACATTTTATGCATAGGTGACCCCAGCGGGGAATCGAACCCACAATCCTGACGTTGCAAGCTCCATGCTCTAGCAACTGAGCATATGCACAGTCTGAGTTAGCTGAAGTATATCTCTAATAAGATAAATAGATCCTCTATTTTATGGGATGCAATCCTCATTGTATGACATCATGACGATGGAGAACGACTTTCTTTGTTTTGTTTAGGGTATACCCGGAGAAGGAGGTGCTGTGGGTCAAATTGGACCAAGGGTACGTATACCATCTTACTAATACAAATATATATTGAACATACTGGATATACCATGTTGTATTGCACCAGACACACATGCATTATATGTGTCTATTGTGTGACTGACAGCTGTTTTGTGTTAAACAGGGAGAGCGTGGAATCCCAGGAGAGAGAGGAGAACTCGGACCTCACGGTCTAGCTGGACCCAAGGGAATCCCGGGAGCACCAGGACCCGATGGACCAAAGGTATTTGTTGTCCATGCATAGAGATGTAATATGGAACCTCAATGGAGGATTATTGTGTATTGGATCTTTGAAGCCGCAAATATGAATCTGATCCCGTTGCTTTTTTTCTCCATAGGGTAGTCCTGGTCCTCACGGTGGAGTTGGTGACCTAGGGCCTCCTGGTCTTCAGGGGATGCCTGGTGAGAGAGGGATCTCTGGTCCTCCTGGGCCTAAAGGTGACAGAGTAAGTATTCACACACTGCTTCATTACCTCCTTATCTTATAATATCCTGTCTCCTTACCTTATAATATCCTGTCTAGGGAGACGGTGTATTCACCCTCCTTATCTTATAATATCCTGTCTAGGGAGACGGTGTATTAATCTCCTTATCTTACAATATCCTGTCTAGGGAGATTGTGTACAGCTGTCTGTGTATCATTGTTTCTGTCTACTGAATGTGTATGATTGTTTTCTACTGTGATTTGTGTGGACCCCAGGGAGAGTACAGTAGCTGTTGGTAGTTAATGGGGGTCGAAGTAAACACTTAAATAATTCTGATAACATAAGAATAGTATTAACCGTCTGATTTTGACATGTGACATTCTCCATCATTGTAGGGGACAGGTGGAGAGAAGGGATCAGAAGGTACACCAGGAAACGATGGCGCAAGAGTGAGTCGAATTTACACCTGCATTTTATCTTTGGCTTTGATGCAACACAAAGAGGCATTGTGTTATCTCTTATTTTGGCCTAAGACAAATAGCTTTGTGCTTTGATCATGTGAAGACCGATACCATATGTTCTTATTTGAAAGGTGCAAGCCCCAGGTGCAAACCCAGCTAATTCAAACAGTTGGCGAGCACTGCTGGCACGCAGTGATTGTGTCAGAACAGGAAAAGTTATCTGTACTGTAGGGTTGTAAAACAAAAAAAAAGACACTTCTTTATAAAGGATGAGTTATTCTACAGGGGAGTGTTGGATAGGAGTCAGCTCGGAAACATGTAGCTGCATGTTCTGTCAGAGCAATGTGCCTGCTCAATTAATTGCAGGAGTCAAAAAATGTATGAATGTATTTCCTCTAACAAGACCTTTTCTCACCACAGGGTCTTCCTGGTCCTCTTGGCCCACCCGGACCCCATGGACCCAGCGGTGAAAAGGTAAAGACATATTTTGCCAAAAGCTAGAATCATTAGTTAGTGAATCTTTTGTTGTGACACCAGAACAACTAGATCTTGTAATTGCAGGGAGAAGCTGGACCTAAAGGCCCTCCCGGGCCTCATGGATCAAGAGCAATGCCTGTGAGTGGACAACCGAACGTTCAGTATAAAACAGTGTCACGTTTACCTGGAAATGATCATATCAGGTGTTATTGCATAATGATCTGTTTTGTATTCTTTTCCACCAGGGAAACCGTGGTGAACCTGGCCCTATTGGTCCTGTTGGGTTTGGTGGACCACCCGTAAGTCATTCTTAATGATTCTAAACCCATGATGCCTATGAGATGACATTAAACTGATTGTCTTAGCGTCATACTAATAACAATAGTAGCAATAATAATAATACATTACATTTGTAGAGCGCTTTTCATTTACAGACGTAAATCACAAAGCGATCATAACGATTCATGTCACACTGTATATCATGTATCGTGTTATATTTAAGTGATAATGCCCGAGAAGCCAGTGTTTGGAGGATATATTGGCATGGGTGTTGTTAGCACCCAAACCAATATTTTTTGGTTTGGATATATTGGCAAACCGTGCCAATATATCCTCCAAACACCGGCTTCGAGGGCATTATCACTTTTATACAACATATTCAAATAATGATTGACATATTCTCATAAAACATTTTTATTTTTATGAATTTATTCATACTATTTCATCCTTCCACAAGCCGGCTGGTCGTTCGTTCTATCAGTTCGGTATCTATGGGCGCGACCCAGTCATTCGTTCTAAATGTTCCATTGCTATACTGGCTGGCAACGTTCTTATCCCTTGCTTGCTAGCTAGCCAACTACAGCTAATTTACAGTCATGTCAAAAAGTGCAGCCAGACGAAAAGCAAAGTAGCTGCATTTGCATTTGTTTAAGCTGTTTTCTAGTGACATTTATTTGGATACATCCATAACAATAAGCTAATGAGGCGCGATTTCGCCTGGCATAGAAAATGTGCTCACTCATCAGGACACTGTTGTTCAGAGGAGCTAGCCAACAACACAGCTAACATAATCACTTCAAACTTAAGCTGGAAAGACTGCAAACAAGCTGCACTTCATTTTGTTTTACCTTTTTTCAATTGACATTTCTTTGTATACATCCATAATAATTATTCCAGCTGATTCATGATTTCGCCTGAGAAACGCTGCCTGCCTGTCTTTCTCATTCCAACTCCCGACACGTTCATGACTATGGGACAGCTGGAGATCCAATTTGAATATTGAAACAATGTTGCAAATGTCGGAGAGACAGACAGCAAGGTTTATACAAATCTCCGCTGTTGAAAACTACATTTAAGTCTAAAAGAAATGTGAGCTAATGTCTAGATGCTTTTTACAGTGGAGATCAAGTTTATAAAGTGCCTGGCTGCGCTGATGAGACAGTGGATTGCACAGTCAGATGGAACAGAGTAAATAGGCTTTTTAATGTCATAGATTTAGCCGGTGGTAATCCTGAATGCTGATTGGTAACACCGGCTGGAATGCGGTTTTAACCAATCAGCATTCAGGATTAGACCCACCCGTTGTATAAAGCATATTGTTGTGTTGTCTTGTAAGAAAAGTAGTTCCTTTGGGATGTTTCCTGCTCTTATGCTAATTGTCTTATTATCCTCATACAGGGTCCTGATGGTCAACCAGGAGTCAAGGGGGAGCCCGGAGAGCCAGGTCAGAAGGGTGACGCTGGTTCTCCAGGGCCTCAGGGCTTGGCTGGATCCCACGGACCTCCTGTGAGTTAACATGCTACATTATCTTGTGCTAAATTGTCGCACACAGACAACAGAACAGGAGGAACGATCTCATACAACAATCTTCATCTCTCCGTAGGGTATTGTTGGTGTGGCCGGACTGAAGGGTGGCAGAGGAACCCAGGGTGCACCTGTAAGTTCATGTTTTGTATTTTGATCAGTCTCTGGGGACTTTGACAGGATTGTGTCCAGGTATTGACACATACAGTTCAGAGAGTATATGAACATGTAATGAACAGTAACCATGTGGATCTTCTCATCTTCTCACTCGTAGGGCCCCACTGGTTTCCCTGGATCTGCAGGCAGGGTTGGACCACCAGGCTCAACTGTAAGTAATCATCAAACCACTTTTGGATAGATTGGTTAAATGTACCAATTCGGAAGTAGCCAACGGCTATCATGTCAATAAGCCACTGGCATTGAATACTTTAATGATAACCACTGACCAGCTATTGTGAACGCACTTCACATTATTCTCAGAGAGATAAACAACAACAACAAAATATCATCAAATTATCTTTGTGCAGGGTCCCGTTGGAGAGGCCGGACCCCTTGGTCTCCCTGGGAAGGAGGGTCCTCCTGGCCTTCGTGGAGAGAACGGATCCCCTGGGAGACAAGGAGAAAGAGGTCCCCCAGGACCAGCCGGAGGCCCAGGAGACAAGGGAGACTCTGGAGAGGACGGACCCACGGTAAACTATCAAGCGTTGCTGAATAATAATGTTTCTCAATTGGTTCCTGGGAGAATCTCAGGGGATGCACATCACTAAGCCCTTGATAAGTTAAATTGGGTGTATTCATACAGGGCTAGAACAAAAATGTAAACCTCAGGAATTGATTGGACATTATAAACTGGGTGGTTCGAGCCCTGAATGCTGATTGGCTGACAGTCGTGGTATATCAGACCGTCTATCGCGGGTATGACAAAACATATATTTTTATTGCTCCAGTTGTGTTGGTAACCAGTTTATAACAGCAATAAGGCACCTCAGGGGTTTGTGGTATATGGCCAATATACCACGGCTAAGGGCTGTATCCTGTAGCCGTGGTATATTGGCCATATACCACAACCCCTCGTGCCTTATTGCTTAATTAACACATTGTTGTATAATACAGTTTATCCACTCCATTCAGTCAGGATATGCATTGAAATAAGAAAAATAATTCTCAACCAAAGTATCAGAAAAATGAATGAACTGAATTACAAGTTCGAGTCGTGTTGAATTGGATTGACCACAACCCTTGTACAGTACAATATCCAGTCAATGTAAACCCCAACTGGATTTGTTTCCACAGGGTCCTGATGGACCTCCAGGTCCTGCCGGAACAACAGGACAGAGAGGCATTGTGGGCCTTCCTGGTCAGAGGGGAGAGCGTGGAATGCTGGGACTTCCAGGACCAGCGGTATGTATTGATTTGGATCCCACGTGTGGCCACAATCTGAACTGCTTTCACTTTGCATGTTACAGTGCCCCTCATGGTTCCATTGTCCCTGTGGTGTCTGTAGGGTCCTCCAGGGAAACAGGGGACTGCAGGACCTGGGGGAGACAAAGGCCCCCCTGGCCCGCTCGGTTCTCCTGGTGCCAACGGACCCCGTGGCGATCCTGGTCCCGATGTAAGTTGCCCCTTACACTTTTTGTCTTAACAAAACCAGTCACCATTTGAGTCCGGATTCAGGATCATAGGCGTTTGACGCTATTTCCTACTTCACAGTAGGGCCGTTTAAAAAAGAAAATGCAGAAATGCCTTCTTGAACATATGAACTTTCATGTGCCTTAATTACAAACTTAATAATAGATTATGTTTGTAATTATGAGCCTAGTTTAGCCAAGGAGAAAGCACTGAGCTACAGTAGGGATCAAAGTCAGGATCCATGACTGGTTGAGATAATGGACGGGAGTGAATAGAGAGACTACTTCCTGGAGGACAACGCCATGCTCACTCAGGCCTTTCCATGTGGATTCTTAAAGAGATGGGTGGGGCTAAGGCTTAAGAGGGTGTGTATGATGCTAAATGGGCATAAACAAAGAAGAGCTCTCTAGAAAACTGTCACGGATTCAGCCGAGGCTGCTCCTCCTCCTTGCTCGGGCAGGCTTCGGCGTTCGTCGTCCCCGGAGTACTAGCTGCTACCGATCTATGTTTCGGTGTTTGTCTAGATTGGTCTGTATTGTTTCCACCTGTGTCCCATTAGTGTTGATTGTATTCCCTTTAAAAAAACCCTGTCTCTCATTTGTTTGTTGTGTGTGATTGTTCTCTGTTAGGTCGGCAGTGCTGTGGTATGCTAGTGTTGTTCCTCCCTGTTTGGAGGTTTTGTTGTTTTGTACTTTCATTTACTGTGTTTAGTAAAGTACGTCTGCCAGTCGCTCGGTGTCCTGCGCTTGACTTCGTTTTCCGCATACACGTCAAACCTGACAAAAACAAGTTTATCCAATTTTAAAGAAGCATAACTTCTCTTGTATGGAGTGTATGGAGTATACAGTAGTTAATCACAATATCTTATTTTTCTCCAGGGTCCTGCTGGTTCTGATGGGCCCCCAGGCAAAGTTGGAGTCATTGGTCAAAGGGTAGGAAGGAGCTGAACACTTCCTGTTCAATACTGTGTCCAGAATGTCTCCCATTGTTTACTGTGCTTGACCCAACTCAACTGTGTTGTAACAGCAAGACAAATTATTTTCCACCTTTTGAGGCGTGGCAATGAAATGGTTCTGGTTCTGATGACTTCCACAGGGAGACAGAGGGGACCATGGTCCAGAGGGTCTGATCGGGACCCCGGGACTACCCGGAACTCCTGGTCCAGTCGGTGCCACCGGTGGTTCTGGAAAGAGAGGAGACGCAGTACGTAATGCCCTTTTCATTAACGTTGGACTTTCCCTGTCAATACATGAGCATCCCAAGATGAGATAAGATGGGAAAAGGAAAGGGTCACGGTAATGTGTACATGTTACTGAATTAATTAATTAATTAATGGAATGAATGAAATTAAATGAATTAATGAATGGAATTAATGAATGTCAAATCGCCACATAAACACACATTACAATAATTAACTGGGATAATTCAGTGATAATTATTCTTCTGGTGTTCTCTGCAGTGTGTCGCATAAAGAGTGAAAAAATAAATAAACAAATTATAATAATACAAAAACATTTGACTAAAAATCAATACATAATAAATAGTAAATAAGGGTATCCAAACAATAATTATAAATACAGAAACATTTAACAGAAGGCATTTGAACCCAGTTACTAATATATAGTATCTCACTGAGTCATGCTGCGGTCTTATTCATACACAGGGTTCCAGAGGACCAAACGGTCCCCCAGGTTCAACAGGAAAGAGAGGGCTAATGGTAAGATCATCATCAACAGCCACATGATACAAATCTAAGGTTATCATTTCATTTGACTTGAATTACTCTACCACCAATTTATCTAAAACATGTATTCGATATCCAAATAGAAATCCAAGTCATTTGATTTTCTGCGAGCAATCACAGAAATGATAACCCAGTATGTGATGGTTATGACTACTAGACTCATGTGAGAACTGTTCATTTGCATATTTGTTTGGTGACACATAATCATAAACATTGGACGTCCCATAAAAATGTGATTGCATGGTGTTCTCCTAAACAACAGGGACCACAAGGACCCAGAGGTGATAAGGGTGACCTGGGAGACCATGGAGACAGAGGACAGAAGGGACACAGAGGATTCACCGGTTTACAAGGTCTACCCGGACCACCTGTACGTCAAATCAATACATATCTGTTATTGAGTAGAATGTATACCCATTTAAAGTTACTATGTCTTGATATTTCATTTTGTATTTATTTTTTAGGGTACAACAGGAGAGCAGGGAGCATCAGGAATCGTCGGACCAAGCGGACAAAGAGTACGTACCATATGAGACACTGTTCCATGTTGTCAACCATGCTGTATTTCATGACTCATTAAAATTGATCTTTAATATGGTATGTTATGATAGGGACCCTCTGGACCAGTTGGACCACCAGGAAAAGAAGGGTATATCGGCCAGCCTGGACCAATGGGACCTCCTGGAACACGTGGAATTAGCGGCGAAATCGGACCTGAGGCATGTTGATACCCATATGTTGATACCCATTTGTTGACTTCTGTAACCGTAAAAGCCTTGGTTTCTGGCATGTTAACATCAGAAGCCTCCTCCCCAAGTTTGAGTTATTCACTGCGTTAGCACACTCTGCCAACCCTGATGTTCTAGCAGTGTCTGAATCCTGGCTTAGGAAGGCCACCAAAAATTCAGAAATGTCCATCCCCAACTACAACATTTTTCGTCTAGATAGAACTGCCAAAGGGGGCGGAGTTGCAATCTACTGTAGAGATAGCCTGCAGAGCTCTATCATACTATCCAGGTCTGTGCCCAAACAGTTTGAGCTTCTACTTCTAAAAATCCACCTTTCCAGAAATAAGTCTCTCACTGTTGCCGCTTGCTACAGACCCCCCTCAGCCCCCAGTTGTGCCCTGGACACCATATGTGAATCGCTTGCCCCCATCTATCCTCAGAGTTCGTACTGCTTGGTGACCTAAACTTGGATATGCTTAACACCCCGGCCGTCCTACAATCTAAACTAGATGCCCTCAATCTCACACAAATTATCAAGGAACCTACCAGGTACAACCCTAAATCCGTAAACATGGGCACCCTCATAGATATCATCCTGACTAGTTTACCCTCTAAATACACCTCCGCTGTCTTCAACCAGGATCTCAGCGATCACTGCCTCATTGCCTGCGTCCGTAATGGGTCCGCGGTCAAACGACCACCCCTCATCACTGTCAAACGCTCCCTAAAACACTTCAGCAAGCAGGCCTTCCTAATTGACCTGGCCCGGGTATCCTGGATGGATATTGACCTCATTCCGTCAGTAGAGAATGCCTGGATGTTCTTCAAAAGTGCTTTCCTCTCCATCTTAAATAAGCATGCCCCATTCAAAAAATTCAGAACTAAGAACAGATATAGCCCCTGGTTCACCCCAGACTTGACTGCCCTTGACCAGTACAAAAACATCCTGTGGCGTACTGCATTAGCATCGAACAGCCCCGCGATATGCAACTTTTCAGGGAAGTCAGGAACCAATATACACAATCAGTTAGGAAAGCAAAGGCTAGCTTTTTCAAACAGAAATGTGCATCCTGTAGCACTAACTCCAAAACGTTTTGGGACACTGTAAAATCCATGGAGAATAAGAGCACCTCCTCCCAGCTACCGACTGCACTGAGGCTAGGAAACACTGTCACCACCGATAAATCTACGATAATCGAGAATTTCAATAAGCTACCCCTACCCCGGCCACCAGCTCTGCACCCTCCGCTGCAACTTGCCCATGCCCCCCCCCCCCCCTCCCGCTTCTCCTTCACTCAAAAACAGATAGCTGATGTCCTGAAAGTGCTGCAAAATCTGGACCCCTACAAATCAGCTGGGCAAGACAATATGGACCCTTTCTTTCTAAAATTAGCCGCCGAAATTGTCACAACCCCTATTACTAGCTTGTTCAACCTCTTTTTCGTATCGTCTGAGATCCCCAGAGATTGGAAAGCTGCCGTGGTCATCCCCCTCTTCAAAGGGGGTGGCACTCTAGATCCAAACTGTTACAGACCTATATCCATCCTGCCCTGCCTTTCGAAAGTATTTGAAAGCCAAGTTAACAAACAGATCACCGACCATTTCGAATCCCACCGTACCTTCTCCGCTATGCAATCTGGTTTCCGAGCTGGTCGTGGGTGCACCTCAGCCACGCTCAAGGTCCTAAACGATATAATAACCGCAATTGATAAAAGACAGTACTGTGCAGCCATCTTCATCGACCTGGCCAAGGCGTTTGACTCTGTCAATCACCGCATTCTTATTGGCAGACTAAATAGCCTTGGTTTCTCAAATGACTGCCTCACCTGGTTCACCAACTACTTCTCAGATAGAGTTCAATGTGTCAAATCGGAGGGCCTGTTGTCTGGACTTCTGGCAGTCTCTATGGGGGTGCCACAGGGTTCAATTCTCGGGCCGACTCTATTCTCTGTGTATATCAATGATGTCGCTCTTGCTGCTGGTGACTCTCAGATCCACCTCTACGTAGACGACACCATTTTGTATACATCTGGCCCTTCATTGGACACTGTGTTAACAAACCTCCGAACGAGCTTCAATGCCATACAACACTCCTTCCGTGGCCTCCAACTGCTCTTAAACGCTAGTAAAACTAAATGCATGCTCTTCAATCGAACGCTGCTTGCACCCGCCCGCCCGACTAGAATCACTACTCTCGGCGGGTCTGACTTAGAATATGTGGACAACTACAAATACCTAGGTGTCTGGTTAGACTGTAAACTCTCCTTCCAGACTCACATTAAGCATCTCCAATCCAAAGTTAAATCTAGAATCGGCTTCCTATTTCGCAACAAAGCCTCCTTCACTCATGCTGCTAAACATGCCCTCGTAAAACTGACTATCCTACCGATCCTTGACTTCGGCGATGTCATTTACAAAATAGCTTCCAACACTCTATTCAGCAAATTGGATGTAGTCTTTCACAGTGCCATCCGTTTTGTCACCAAAGCCCCATATACTAACCACCATTGTGACCTGTACGCTCTCGTTGGCTGGCCCTCACTACATATTCGTCGCCAAACCCACTGGCTCCAGATCATCTATAAATCACTTCTAGGCAAATCCCCGCCTTATCTTAGCTAATTGGTCACCATAGCAACACCCACCCGTAGTATGCGTTCCAGCAGGTATATCTCACTGGTCATCCCCAAAGCCAACACCTCCTTTGGCCGCCATTCCTTCCAGTTCTCTGCTGCAAATGACTGGAACAAACTGCAAAAATGTCTGAAGCTGGAGACACTTATCTCCCTCACTAACTTTAAGCATCAGTTGTCAGAGCAGCTTACCGATCACTGCACCTGTACACAGCCCATCTGTAATTAGCCCACCCAACTACCTCATCCCCATATTGTTATTTACATTGTTATTTATTTTGCTCATTTTCACCCCAGTATCTCTATTTGCACATAATCTTCTGCACATCTATCACTCCAGTGTTAATACTAAATTGTAATTATTTTGCACTATGGCCTATTTATTGCCTTACCTCCATAACTTACTACATTTGCACACACTGTATATAGATTTTCTATTGTGTTATTGACTGTATGTTTTGTTTATTTCATGTGTAACTCTGTGTTGTTGTTTTTATCGCACTGCTTTGCTTTATCTTGGCCAGGTCGCAGTTGTAAATGGGAACTTGTTCTCAACTGGCTTACCTGGTTAAATAAAGGTGAAATATATATAAAAAATATATATAAGGGTCATTTCACCTACATACTGTATGCTCTGTCTTAATTTGACCAGTTTCTCACGGGCAGGAAAATAATTATATAATTAATGGACATTTTTGTAGTCTGACATGTTTAAGTGGAAATTACAAACTGGAGAAGCCCTTTTAAACCTTGAATAGACCTTGAATACACTACAATTTGTGATCAAATGAAGATAGCAGATCTGTACACTGATATAAACATTTTCTGGGAAGACAACGCAAACATCATGATCATTTGGCACATAATGTTAAGACACCTAATATGTTCACACTTAAATAAAATACTATTACTTACCATTACTCTGTGGTTTCCAGGGACCTCCTGGAGAGCCAGGCCCCACTGGTCCTCCCGGCCCTGCAGGCCCCCCCACGGCTGCCATGGATGACCTGTTTGGCGCCATGCAAGACTACGATGGCGGCCCCCCTCCTCCTCCCGAGTTCAGTGAGGATGAGGCTTTGCCCAACAGCAATGCCACCCAGCAGCTGGACCCAGGTGTCCAGGCCACTCTGAAGGCCCTCAGCAGCCAAATCGACAGCATGAAAAGCCCCGACGGCAGCAGGAAGCACCCGGCTAGGACTTGTGAGGACTTGAAGCAGTGCTACCCACTGAAGAAGAGCGGTGAGTTGTTGTTTCCATGACACGGGAAGTACTACACATCGAAGATCATCATTAAGGTGTTTTCTGAAGTTATTAGGTATTCAGACCATGTCTCTTTAATCCTATTGTGGCAATAATTCTACCCCTGAGGATGCGATGTTTGCTAACTCACATTGGAAATATCTCCCATGTAAAAGGAGCCAATAGGCTGGCAGATGGGATCTGATTCATGAGTAAATATTTGCTATTTCTTCTTTAATGTGACAGTTGTGGGACAATGTTCTCTTTCTCTGTTCCAGGTGAATACTGGGTCGATCCAAACCAAGGAAGCTCAGAGGATGCTATCAAAGTACATTGTAATATGGAGACGGGAGAGACCTGCATCTCGGCCAATCCTGCCAGCATACCTCGCAAAGTGTGGTGGAGCACCTCAAGGAATAAGCCTGTGTGGTTTGGAGCTGACATCAATAGAGGACAACAAGTAAGAACAATGTTTCTACCCTGTAATACTCATATTTTTACTATTATTAGGGTTGGAAAACCACACTAGGAACTGTTGGATCACTGGGCATTCAAAATATCCCCCTTGAGATTTTAAATTTCAGAAATCTGTGGGAATTCTGCTCCCATGCATTCCTACCCAATTCCACCCCTAATTATAAGATGCAAGTATGTTATATGGTAGTGGGGTATGGCTGAGGGAAAATATTTGTAAAGCAAGACTGACCACTGGTAATCATTTTATAAATACTAGCAACTGACCCACATTTGACCATCACTGATAATATTTGCTATGTAAATGTGACACCTGTACATAGATAAATAACAACGACTGATAACTGTTGATAACATCATATTGAAATGTAGTTTCATCTAAAAACTGAGTTCCTCAAATGCCGCCAATTTTTCAACTGTTGTTTGTTTTCTCTTTTTGTGTATTCGCAGTTCACCTACGGTAACAAAGACCAGCCGGCCAACTCTGTCACGGTTCAGATGACGTTCATTCGTCTGCTCTCCAAAGAGGCTTCTCAGACCATCACCTTCCACTGCAAGAACACAGTGGGCTACAAGGATGAGGCGACTGGGAATCTGAAGAAAGCTGTCATCCTCAAGGGGTCCAATGACCTGGAGCTCAAAGCAGAGGGAAACAACCGCTTCAGATACACTGTGGTGGAGGACAGTTGTGGAGTGAGTAATATTATACAGTATATATATATATATATATGTATATGTGTGTGTGTATATATCATATTCTATGGACGTTTTGGGGCCGTTTCAGTCTGGGCCCTGAAATGTTTATATCTGGGTCGTCACTGGAAACATTGACTTACTGAGGTCTTACTGAACCTTACAGAACCTTACTGAACATTTCCCATGTCTTTCTCTTTACAGAAATCCAATGGTAACTGGGGCAAGACAGTGTTTGAGTACAGGACCCAGAAAACAGCCAGACTTCCCATCATGGATATGGCCCCTGTGGACATTGGTGGTTCGGATCAGGAGTTTGGTATCGATATTGGGCCCGTTTGCTTCCTATAAATTCCAAAAACAACATGGACGCATTGAAGACAATCCTGAGACTCTTGAACTATCAGCTGACGCGATCAGCCTTGTACATACAAGTACTGCGGACTATTCTCGCCTCGTGGCAAGATATTTATTGTGCCTTTCCAACCGTTCCCTATCGTAGTTGATATGTTTTTGCCCTGTGTACGTTAGATGAATGTTTGGGGGAAATAAAGAACAAGTAAGCAACATTTCAAAACTTTGCTTGCATTTGACAAATACATTATGTAAGGGATAATCAACGAGGGGCCATGCGTCCTCTGGAAAATAATAAACAACGGGGAATGTGTGGTCCACAACGCGCTAGTGGAGTGGAATTAGTCTTCCACGGAGTTGCATTTTTTTCCAGAGAAAGCATAGAGCTCTGAGTTGATTATCCCTTTCATACCATGGCTATAATTTAACACATTTGCCACTAGAAATGTGTTCATTTGTGGGTGTAAATGTGTTGAACATCCACTGAAGTAGCTAGAACGTTTACTAGACAGCTACAGTAGTTGCCATGGTAACCAAACAAACAGACTTGCTAGTTTAGCTAACCAAACCATCAGTCCTAGCTTGCTATTATGAAAATCTAATTCAACAATGCCAATATTTTTTTCAATCCCACTTTTGCTTTCAAAACCAGCTCAAACATAGAACATGTAAGAATGAACTATAGCCATTGAATTCTACCATGCTGATATATCGTGCGTTATAGAGAAATAATGCATGCTCTAGAATGCCCTTCAAGCCAATCAGAAATGAGTATTCAACAATGCCATGATATAAGTAAGGGTTAATCAACGAGGGGCTATGCGTTCTCTGGAAAAGAATGCACAATGTGGAACTAACCTTCCACGGAGTTGCATTATTTTCCAGGGAACGCATAGAGCCCCGAGTTGATTCTCCTTTTCATACCATGCATATAATTTAACATTTTTGCCCCTAGAAATGTAGCTATTCATTTGCCAGTAGAAATGTGACAACATCCACTGAGCTAGCAAGTTTACTAACTAGCTAGATAGTTACTGTAGTTGCCTTGGTAACCAAACAAACTGACTTGCTAGCTTAGCTAACCAACCCATCATCCTAGCTTGCTATTATGAAAATAGAATTAAACAATGTTTTCAATTTGACTTTTACTTTCAAAAGCAGCTCAAAAATAGAACATGTAAGAATGAACTTCATAGCCATTGAATTATACCGTGCATTATAGGGAAATAATGCACGCTCTAGAATGCTCTTCAAGCCAATCAGAAACGGGTATTCAACTAATTCCATGGTATAAGCGCATGATATTTAGTCTTTAAGGTACAAAGGTCCAATCCATTGATATTGTATTTGATATTATGGAGCAAAGATAAAAAGCTGCCAAAGGTCCTTGATAAATATGAATACTGCTGTTTGTAAGATGAACACCATTCTACAAGAATATAACTACAATGGTTTGTTCCACAACTAAGATCTCCTAACCTCTTAATGTTTTATCATTTGCTTAATTTCTTTTTTATACAAAAACAGTTTTCAATGTAAAATGAACGTTTATGGTGCTATTGAGGAAATTAGACTGTTTTTTCTTTCCAGAACTGAAAAACTGTTTGGTATAACTGATTTCTGTATCCAAGTTATCCTAACTCTGTACTCATTCCATTGAATCCAAATTAAAGATCCAACCAGACTGTTGATTCCTCAGTGTTAGATACCTGTTGATTCCTCAGTGTTAGATACCTGTCGATTCCTCAGTGTTAGCTACCTGTCAATTCCTCAGTGTTAGATACCTCGTCTCCACAAACTGGGATGCCTTGATTATGTGTAACCCTTTTCACAGGTTTGGTGCTGTCTGTAAGTGCTCCTCTCCCATATACGTTACAGGGGAGGGTTTGGGGCTACCAATAAAGATGGAGAGGTGGAATCAATGTCTCGTACACAGTGTGTGCTGATTGTTTTTTTAAATAATTGCTTTTATTTTCAAGTAGCCGTGGTCATTTTAACACTTTGAGCGTGTTGTTTGTAATTCCTGATAATTTTAACATGTTATCTTTTTAATTCATGATCATTTTAACACTACAAGTGTGTTATGTTTTTTCTGCATGTCGGTAGGCCCTTTAAGTCACTTTCTCTTAGTTATCTTTTATAGCAGCTTTTGAGACGAAGCCTATTTGCTTCATGTATTTTTGCTATGCAACAAATTAAACAAAACGCTTGTCTATCCCCAAAGCTCTTTTTTTGTCAAATTAATTAGCTAATGTCCTACTTTTTAGGAAAAGCTGAGCAATTTGTTTCCACGGATAAATATATAAATATTTATAGGAAATGTTGCCATAGGTAACAGGCATATGACATGTGAACTGAACATATATATTTAGCTTTGTAATTATAAATGTATTATGTCCATTTTGCTGTTGCTTTATGTCTCTCTTTAGTTCGGTTTTTCCTAAATCAACATTATAATTCCTTTGCTTGAGGTAAATTTCCATAATGATAGTATTTATTAAATATTTCAAAACTGTAAATATTCTGGTGGCAGGTCTGATTTGCTTATGACCGTCTCAGAGGCAGATCAATAGGATATTCTATCCTGGAACCAAGTCAGTTTCATCCACTGAAATAAATACTGAAATTATTTTGTTCTGTTTTCATTTCAAAAGTGTCTTTGGTTATTAGTTAGACTATTGTATTGAATGTTGCTGGAAGCTGGTCATCTTGTATGTTTACAACTAGAACAGTCCATTTCATTCCCTTTTTTTCAGTAGGCACACGGAAGGGATAAGCTCACAGGTTAGGACCAATGGAAGGGTTCCAAAAAATGAAATTATCCTTCTTCTGTCACGCTTAATTGACTCTCCTCGTCCCAAGCTCTTGGTAATTGCTGGGGTACAGCGGCTTATAATAATATAATAATAATATGCCATTTAGCAGACGCTTTTATCCAAAGCGACTTACAGTCATGCGTGCATACATTTTTGTGTATGGGTGGTCCCGGGGATCGAACCCACTACCTTGGCGTTACAAGCGCCGTGCTCTACCAGCTGAGCTAGAGAGGACCACAAATCAAGCTTGCACAGTACTGACTGAAATACTTTATACATCAGTAACAAGACTACCTGCAGTGGCGTCTGTGTGACTGAGCGGGACGCCAAGAGAGAAAGTATGTCCTAATGGATACAATAAATTCGTCATCAAGACGAAGGGTTCATGAGTATGTAAACAAGCGACTCAAACACTGGCAGGTAGCCTGGCGGTTAGCACGTTGGGACACTAACCGAAGGGTCGTTGGTTCGAAATACCCGAGCTGACATGAAAATCTGTCGATGTGCCCTTGAGCAAGGCACTTAACCCTAATTTGCTCCAGAGGCGCTGTACTCCTATGTCTGACCCTGTAAAACAACACAATTAACTGCAGCTATCCGGTGGACGTGACAATAAAAACGTTTTTATTTTATTTTGTATTACATACTATCATTATGATGTCACCAAGCAACAGAGTTATTGAATATGTCCATCAAAGCCTAACCTCAGTGGAGATCCATGGTTGAATATCTGCCGGTACATCTTGAGAATATCCAACACGCTAACACTTTACATTAAGTTGCTGTTTTCTTATACCTGTGTAGTAATGCTGTAATTACACACGTAACAACATTGTAATATCTCATTGTTGTAATTGCATTTAAAAATGACTATGTAACAAACTGAATGTAAAGTGTTAGCAAAAATACTTGATTCCCCAGACTTTTACATATAAAATGCATAACATACAAATAAAATGTAGCGCCAACACATTTCAATAATTATTGAGTGTTGATAACTGATGCAGTAATGTTTTCTTTAATAACTGTAACAGCAAAGTAAAATAACAAGTACTGACAGAGGTTTTCAAAAGTGCTTTCTGGTGCAAGAGGACACTGACATATATCATAAGAAAGTAAATCCATGTCAATACATACCGATATGTAAAATGCACCTGTTAAAATGTTTAATAAGACAATAAAACGAATCAATTAAATGTCAGGTCAAAACAATCAGAATTAATGATTACACTAAAGATACATGAGTAAAAAGAACAGAGGAAATGTCAAATGAAGGGCAAGCTGAGAGTTAGTTACATGAGTGGTAATACAAGAACAACTACATTTACGTGTCTTGTGAGTTGATGATGAGCAAGTCATTACGTCTGACAGACAAAAAACAACGTGGTAACAATGTTGATTTAAGTGGTGTATATTCAATAAAGCAGATTCTATACATAAGACGTACTGTTTATGAAAACTCTGCCACAGAGTATACCATCGGCCATACTATTTACATCCTTTGTTGCCTGTAAAAATACTCCTTCCCACATGAGTTCTTACAAAAATAGTGCTTTCTATATCAGATTTGAATATACCTTTGAATATTCTAAAACCAAATTCAAATGCAAATACATATAAACCTCAAGACTAGAAGAACATTGACATCTTGACTGTAGACCCAATTCTGGCACTTTTAATACAAATTAGTTAACAGTATGTAACAGAAACGCATCTTCTTTGCATCAGCAGCGACCGTCTAGTGGCTCAAGAGAAAAGACAGCGGCCTCTAGGGTTAGTCCCATTTTGAACCCCTCCTGTGAAACAAGGGGGAGAACGGCTGTTAGAAAAATACATGAATCCCATGTCAATCTGCTCTATAGGAGGAAAGACGTCAAATGGAGGTGGTCGGTATAATCAACATTACAGTTCCTCTATGCAGAGTCTTGAGCCAAATATGTCATGCGTCTACACCTACATGTTAACGTGTCCACATTGTGTCCAGATTCCCTTTTCCAGCGCTATATTCAAATGCCAGTTTGCATTCTGAAAACGGTGGAACAGGCTAATTCTGATAACACAACAACAACTTGATGGCAGTAGCCAACTACTGTAGCTAGCTAGCCAGCTAACCTCTGTAAATAGCCAGCAAGTTAGCTAGCAAAGCTAAAGAGATTGCAAACAAGTTGGCATAACTCTAGCCAAACAAAAGATATGTTTTCAAAATATGCTAGCTAGCTAGGATTTGTGAAGCCAGCAAACACGTTCCTCACACGCTAGGAACGTATTTCCTCCAATGTTTAATGAAAAAAGGTGCCCTTCGCTCCCAAAACACACGTTTTCTGGATACTTGTGGGCAGAGTGCTGATTATGTCGCCCACTGTATGCACTTTCGGTAGCCTGCTTGTGTTTAGAAATCAGCACAGAATGCATCGCTGACCACCTCCTGAAGTGGTCTTTTCAATGCGATCTTCGTATTCTGATAGCAGAAGTCGCATGTAAGTGCTAAGTGTAGACACATTCTTGGTGAGCTGTAACCAAGACACCGTAAAAAATATATTCATACTGGCCCAAAGTTCTTATTATTGTTTGGTCCAAAATAGCTGGCATCCAAGTCCACAAAGTAATGGTTAGGGGATATGGAATCTAGAATGCCTAAGCACTTCTCAGAGAAATAACAAGATCTGAGGAAGCTTTGATCCAAAACCCTCCAAAGAAGTGTAAAACTCTCATATACAGTCTACACCACAAAGCACATTAGCATCTATGTGGATGACCTATGGATGTAGCAAGTAATAACTACAGGACTTTGAATACATCTGACCCCATGTGACCCTAGAATGTTCCAGAGACAACAAGCAATACAAATATGATGAAGCGGATTGACAAGCAATAACACATTTTCAGTTACAAAACAAAGATAATACTGGTGACAACCAAGTGCACCCAACACAGCATTAGATCAGATGTGTTACAGTGAGGGAAAAAAGTATTTGTTCCCCTGCTGATTTTGTACGTTTGCCCACCTGCCAAAGAAATGATCAGTCTATAATTTTAATGGTAGGTTTATTTGAACAGTGAGAGACAGAATAACAACAACAAAATCCAGAAAAACGCATGTCAAAAATGTTACAAATTGATTTGCATTTTAATGAGGGAAATGCAGAAAGATTTCTGGCTCCCAGGTGTCTTTTATACAGGTAACGAGCTGAGATTAGGAGCACACTCTTAAAGGGAGTGCTCCTAATCTCAGTTTGTTACCTGTATAAAAGACACCTGTCCACAGAAGCAATCAATCAATCAGATTCCAAACTCTCCACCATGGCCAATACCAAAGAGCTCTCCAAGGATGTCAGGGACAAGATTGTAGACCTACACAAGGCTGGAATGGGCTACAAGACCATCGCCAAGCAGTTTGGTGAGAAGGTGACAACAGTTGGTGCGATTTTTCGCAAATGGAAGAAACACAAAAGAACTGTCAATCTCCCTCGGCCTGGGGCTCCATGCAAGATCTCACCTCGTGGAGTTGCAATGATCATGAGAACGGTGAGGAATCAGCCCAGAACTACACGGGAGGATCTTGTCAATGATCTCAAGGCAGCTGGGACCATAGTGACCAAGATAACAATTGGTAACACACTACGCCGTGAAGGACTGAAATCCTGCAGCGCCCGCAAGGTCCCCCTGCTCAAGAAAGCACATATACAGGGCCGTCTGAAGTTTGCCAATGAACATCTGAATGATTCAGAGGAGAACTGGGTGAAAGTGTTGTGGTCAGATGAGACCAAAATCGAGCTCTTTGGTATCAACTCAACTCGCTGTGTTTGGAGGAGGAGGAATGCTGCCTATGACCCCAAGAACATGGTGGTGGAAACATAATGCTTTGGGGGTGTTTTTCTGCTAAGGGGACAGGACAACTTCACCGCATCAAAGGGATGATGGACGGGGCCATGTACCGTCAAATCTTGGGTGAGATCCTCCTTCCCTCAGCCAGGGCATTGAAAATGGGTCGTGGATGGGTATTCCAGCATGATAATGACCCAAAACACACGGCCAAGGCAACAAAGGAGTGGCTCAATAAGAAGCACATTAAAGTCCTGGAGTGGCCTAGCCAGTCTCCAGACCTTAATCCCATAGAAAATCTGTGGCGTGAGCTGAAGGTTTGAGTTGCCAAACGTCAGCCTCGAAACCTTAATGACTTGGAGAAGATCTGCAAAGAGGAGTGGAACAAAATCCCTCCTGAGATGTGTGGAAACCTGGTGGCCAACTACAAGAAACGTCTGACCTCTGTGATTGCCAACAAGGGTTTTGCCACCAAGTACTAAGTAATGTTTTGCAGAGGGGTCAAATACTTATTTCCCTCATTCAAATACAAATCAATTTATAAAAAATTTTACATGCGTTTTTCTGGATAATTTTGTTGTTATTCTGTCCCTCACTGTTCAAATGAACCTACCATTAAAATGATAGACTGATCATGTCTTTGTCAGTGGGCAAACGTACAAAATCAGCAGGGGATCAAATACTTTTTTCCCTCACTGTATTTATAGGGCTCTCAGGGTTAATCAGTCAACTGAAGTAAATTTTGGGTAATTTTTTGTATTTCCTGAAAACATCAAAAATACATCATCTATACAGCTAAAAACAACAATGCGACATCAAAACAAGTTGACATTGAGGTTAAAGAAAGTGTGCTTTTGTAATGATGTTTGTATAAAAAATAAAAAAATTACAGCTCAATTTGAGCAAATTCTGAAGTTGCAATTAACAAATCCTGCGATTAACTCGATTACATTTTTGTAATCCTTTGACAGACCTAGTTATTTATTTATTGAATTTCCCATTATTGTTGCTGTGAATGATCAAATCAAAGATACTGACTGAGAAAAGTAAAGCTTCCATAGCCAACGAGGTTAATATATATATATATATTTTTTTAAATCACATTGTTTACAGGCAAATGTAACTTCAACTCAAAAAAATTAAATAAACATGTGTACAGCATTATGAAAGTGTGACATTTCAAAAAGCTTGGTTTTACTGATGGACTGTATGCAGAGTATTTACAACAGAGTCCAACTGAACACATGCAAATCCATTCACGATGACACAGTCACTGTCACGGCAACCACAAGAAGGGTCAAAGTAGTGTAACGGTACAAACCATCTCTGACGCTGCAGCAAAAGGGGGAAAAGAGAGATGGAAACAGAATTAAAGGCAGGAAGGAGAGGAAAGAAGAGCACTGAGTAGCATATCAACGCCTCCTACTGTAACTACTTCATCATCAAATTCCCCAATTGTTAGGGCTCAATTTAATCAGTAGCGCAGACGATCAGCGTTATAGCACGATTGATATTTAAAGGCAATGCTTTCCACGTTTCGCGGAGACTGTATTCACGGTAAACACAGCTTATGTCGGCTCAATCGGAAATTACCTTTACATTTCAACTGAGGCAGACAGAGAGAGGGATTATGTAAACGTTTGTAAGTAGCAATTTGCAACTGGATGCCACACAGCAGATTTGCATGTGTTAAAATCTCAGTGCTAAGGTAAAAAGAGTGTTATGTCCGAGTGTTGATTCTAGTGGGGTTAACATCAGTGTGATTGGTGAATAAATGTGTTATTTGAATAACAGTGGAATCAACACTGTGTGGTGTTGTTGTTACTCGACTGTGTTGAGTTCATTTCAGTTAACTCTCTCAGAGTGAAAAAGACAGGGTGGTCCCTCATTATCATTCTTCCCAGAATGCTTTTTTGCAGGTAGATTTTTAGAATAGTTTGTTTTTGTAACGATGTTTCTGCGTGCACATTGATTAATTGATCTTATACTATACAAAGATAAATAACTTACAACTAATCCAATCTGCACCCGTTACTGAGATTGTTGTTCCAGTTTAGATGGTTTAGGGAGTCTTGTTTGTCAAGTCCTTCACCATAGCAGTCATTCTGAATGCAGGTTGTAGGTGATAAAATATTCAAATTGTTGGATATCCTCCCTCTACCTGGATTCTGATAGTAATTACTAACCACTTCACAAACCACCGTATTGTGAGGTTTGATGTGGCTCATGAGCCAAGATTGTCACCCCATAATATTGAGGATAACTAGACCATAACTAAATGCTGTATGAAATGTATTGTATACAGTGCCTTCAGAAACCTTTTCCAGATTTTGTTGTCTTACAGCCTGAATTTAAAATGGATTAAATACAGATTTCTTTGTCATTGGCCTACACACACTACCCCATAATGTCAAATTGGAATTTTGTTTTTATTTCTTTTACAAATTAATAAAAAATGACAAGCTGAAATGTATTGAGTCAATAAAGTATTCAATCCCTTTGTTATGGCAAGCCTAAATAAGTTCAGGAGTACAAATGTGCTTAACACGTCACATAATAAGTTGCATGGACTCACTCTGTGTGCAATAATAGTGTTTAACATGATTTTTGAATGACTACCTCATCTCTGTACCCCAGACACAGAATTATCTGTAAGGTCCCTCAGTCGAGCAGTGAATTTCAAACACAGATTCAACCACAAAGACCAGGGAGGTTTTCCAATGCCTCGCAAAGAAGAGCACCTATTGGTAGATGGGTCAAAAAACAAAAAGACATTGAATATCCCTTTGAGCATGATGAAGTTATTAATTACACTTTGGATGGTGTATCAATACACCCAGTCACTACAAAGATACAGGCGTCCTTCCTAACTCAGTTGCCGGAGAGGAAGGAAGCTGCTCAGGGATTTCACCATGAGGCCAACAGTTACTTTAAAACAGTTACAGAGTTGAATGGCTGTGATAGGAGAAAACGGAGGATTGATCAACAACATTGTAGTTACTCAACAATACTAACCTAATTGACAGAGTGAATAAAAAAATATTCCAAAACATGCACCTCGACGTCGTAGCCAGTATACACTTCCTCAAATAGATAACTCAAGAAATCTGTCATTAGTTTTGAGGTTTTTGCCCGAAGAGATCTTAGTCGCACAATTTTATATCTAACTCAGATGTTTGGTGCAGTATTTCGCAATGAAAACATGAGCATGAAAACGAGTCGTCTCTCGTTGAATGACAACAAAGACTTTACTAAAGAATCCCTACTGTTGACCAATCACCGACAAAGAGGCCTTGACTTCGGCTACGAACTTCGGCTTGCCTCCAGTCCAAAACGAACAAAAACGTCACATAACGTCGTCATAATATATGCAACTCTACCGAACTGTTTTGGCTGAGAAGCATGCGGACACCTTAACAGCATCAACTCTAATAAAGTGTTAATTTAAGTCGGAATTTGCAACATCCATGGTGTTAGGGACCCAACACTCTAAGGTTGTTAGTTTGTCAACACTTTGAAAAGTGGTAGTTTAACACTATTTCGGTGGGTCACATATCATTTTGAAGAAAGTGTTCAATTTAAATTTGCTGTGCAGGTTCCCAATGTTTAATTCCAATTAAAATAAAGAGTTTGAAATATAAAAACAACCCCATGCTTCAGTTTTACAGTTAAATTCCTCTGCCAGCTCTGCCATCATAGGCATTTATGTAAAAGACGTGAGCACTGTGGTTCAAACTGACATTGAATTTGTAATTTCAGATAAGCTGTGCTCCAACTGTGAATGAAATCAAATGAAATCAAATATAATAATGACAGTTATAATCTAAAGTATCTACTAATGCGCAGCAACAAGCCCAACCTGCCTATTCAAAAGAGGCAATATAATATACATTGTTATAAGTATTATTATTCAGGCATTTATAAAGCCACAACTAACAGTTGTTGTTTGGCGTCCATGATGTGACAACAATTCTTGTTTTGCATCTGTAATCAGTGACTACTGATAATTTACATAAAGTCTGTGTTTCCAGAAAACAATAGCTTTGAAATAGCTAACATACAGAATATAATGATATTCTATTCAAGCCCTAAAATCCCAAGGCTGATGTTACAAAATACCTATATCTCATAAAGATAAGTAAATGTGGATTACAAGATGCCTAAAGTGCATTTTGAACACAGTGCTATTCAGCTGACTAACTGCAGCAATATGCATTGAAGATTCAACATCTTGCTAAATAAATCTTGCCATAATGTTCACAATGTCAGGCAAAGAAAAGTAGGCCCATGGCCAATATTGAGCATCATAGTCAGGAAACAAACAAAACAAAACCTTCATGAGCCAAAATATATAACTTTAACGAACAACTGAAGTTAGAACAATTTCTGGTTTATTGATATGTTTTATATTATATAAAACCAAAATGAGAGGGTAGGGGCCCACTCCCCCCTACTAGGGTGGAGGTCTACTCGAAAAACCCTTTATAATGGCGTTCAACCACTACTCTCTTACATGAGTCCATTAAACAGGGCTTAAGATCAGTCACAGACATACAGTCACCTGCATCTCGTCCAGCTTGGACTGGATATCCGGTGGGAAGTCGGCTTGCCCACAGGTGAACGGATCGAAAGGTTCCGCTCCAAAAAGGTCTTTACCTGTGAGAGAGAGAGACAATATTTGAGATGCCACAACGTAGTAGAGAAAACATGTACATTGGTAACATTTATTAAGTATATATAAACATTATTCGTGACAGTTATTATAAAGTGTAACCCCAAAAAAATTTCTCGCTAATGACCACAAACCATGGTTTATGCCATACTCTGTGTGTGTTTCAATTCTAACTCTCACTGTCATCCTTGAGCTGTAAGGTAACCAGAGCGGTGTACTCACTCGTGTCTGGAGGAGATGTTGTCGGGGGGGGAGGGGGTGTGCCGTTGCTTGCGGGTATTGGCACCAGGGGTGTGACAGCAGAGAAGGGAACCATGTCAAAAACGTCTGTGGACATTGGGGGTTTCAAGGAGACGCTGCCAGCCTGTGAGTGTAGAGGGTATTGGTTCATTCCAATGATTCCCTTATGCCGTGAGCAGTAGTACTCTGACCTACATTCTGAAGTCAGAGTTATGAATATGCATTTCAAGTCAGACTGTAGTCCTAATATAAAGAGTGATGAAATCAACTAATTGAGACTTAAAAGTCTTATTAAGCAGACTTTATACGTATCTGCATTGTCTACTTAAGCATTAAGGCCCGATGAGGTGTGGCCAATATACCACAGCTAAGGGCTGTTCTTAAGCACGACACAACGCGGAGTGCCTGGACACAGCCCTTAGCCGTGGTATATTGGCCATATATCAGAAACCCCCGACGTGCCTTATTGCTATTATACAATGGTTACCAACGTAATTAGAGCAGTAAAAATACATGTTTTGTCATACCCATGGTATACGGTCTGATATACCACGGCTGTCAGCCAATCAGCATTCAGGGATCGAACCACCCAGTTTATAACGTAGAATATATATGAGTCAAAATGAAGTATTGTTTATTAGAAGAAATTGAAATAGAAATCAGGAAAGAAAGAAAAGGCTGAAAGATATAGATAGTTGTACAGTACGCGAGGCCGTGGGATGCTGCATCCGTCGGCAGGCTTTGGGAGGAGAGGGGGCTTAGCCGGAGGAGGGGTTAGTAGGCCTGCCGAGAGGTTGGACTCGGGCGAGCTCATAGGGGTGAGTGTGACCGAGGAGATCTCGAGACACGAGAAGGATGTCAGATTGTGACACCAGAAGAGCGAGGAGGGTCTTGAGAGCATGTAGGCCTCGTTAGTAGTGTTTATGTGCAGCAGCTGTGAAGAGATTAAATGCAGACGATTTAGTGGAAGACTGGAAGTGGCTTGTTAGTTCACACACGCAGCATGACACCAGTAAGAACTGCATTACACTCTGTGTAATGTGGGTTACTGCATTACACTCTGGGTAATATGGGTTACCCAGGCAAGCCTAGAGACTGGAAGGGCTGTCCATGCCGTTCTTACTGGTGGTGCAGGAGCAGTCACCAATTGCTCTTCCAGATTCCAAAGCTGCTTCTTTAGCCCAGAATTTTCCGTTTCCAGTTCTTGAATCTGCGAAAAAATAAGGATGCTCGTTTTAGAATGGTTTTATAGCTACCTACATCTGATACGGAAATCACCTGTTTTTATCAATGTCATTAGTATGGAGATGTACTATTTATTCAATCCCTATCCCATGTGAAGGAGCAGTCAAACTTGTCCAACAGTTGAATCTTACTCTTTTCTGTAAGGTTCCTATCTGTTTCCGTGTCTCCACATCTTTTCCACCAGACTCGAGGAACTTCTTGTAGGCCAAGTCAAACGCCTGGCCAATAGTGAGTGTTACCTCCTCTGCCTGGAAGACAACAGTATCCTCCGTTATTTATTTTTTTACAAAACTCTTTATAAAAGGGTCCTCCTGATTCGTCAGAACAAATTCTTCATTTTAGAAGGCCAGTATCTTTATTATTTACTAGGGATTGACGACACATATAGCTGGATCAACAACTGATGGTGTGGAACATGAACTCAAGACGTAAACTCTCAAAGTGTGTATTTTTTAAACCCTCAAAAGTGTGTATTTCTTACACATTTTTCACTGTCAAACACGTAGCAGAGGTGTTTGTTTGACTCAGAGTCTTTGCAGATGAAGGTGAATATCCTTTTATCCGTCTTGTCATCTGCACAGAAGGATATCCTGTGCAACTGGCAGTTGTACTGGACATCCTGAAAATACAAATAAACACTCATGCTTCAGCAACACCTCCTTGATAACACTTCACATGAATGCTTCCATAATATGCATACAAAAACACCTTGGATCATTTTTTAAAAATCCATGCCATGTTTACTTGACTTACCTTTGTCTTGGGATCTAAGATCTTTACTCCATAAATGGAGATTTGCAATTCCACTTTTGGGGTCTTCTGTCCCTCTGACTTCTTGATATGCCTTTGAAACTACAAAGAGTAGAAACATTACATGTACAGTATAACGGTAATGGTAATCCGACTTGGCCCCGTCTCATTCGGAAATGTACAGTCCACTATTGAAAGTGGTGAAAGTCATTTCATGCAATAATTATAACCGGCTGAGGGCCCTATTTACCGAAAAAGGGTATCCAAAGTAATTTAGAAAATGGCATTCGTCCAACACAGTGAAATGCTTATTTGAATTAGGTTGAATATCAATTATGCGATCTGAGCGTATTTCTTTCATACTATAAACACTAATTTTCTGAGTGCATGAATCTGATTGATAGAATGATTTTTGGTTATCCCCAAAACCCTATAACCAATTTAGGGTTACATATCAAATCAAATCAATTTTTGTGTGTCACATGTGCCGAATACAACAGGTGTAGACCTTACAGTGAAATGCTTACTTACAAGCCCTTAACAATGCAGTTTTAAGAAAAATAAGTGTTAAGTAAAACATAGATAAGTAAAAAATAATTAAAGAGCAGCAGTTATACTGCATATAAAGAGACCAGAGCACTTTCAGTGACATATGGAGAGAAAATAAAGAAAATGACTATAATCAGTTTATATAATATAGTCTGTCAAGTGTGGAGTTGGAACATACTCAGGAAGAAGCTAAATCCCCAAAATAAGACTGTATTCAATGCTCTTACCTTGGTCTGACCTGAACTCCACACTTGAGATCCATTGAATCTTGTGTCAATAATTTGATTATAATATATATAATTATACTTAATTTGCGCCTTTTTTTTTTCTTTCTTTTAAAAATGGTTCAGAAAAGAAAGGGAGAAGGTATACCGAGAAAGAAAGGAGAGAAAATCAAAAGGAGAGATGTGACACGTGAACGGGAGAGCTGTACTGATCGGCTCTGGCGTTGACCAATGATGACTCAGATATTTTGACCCTTTCACAAAGTGTTCAAACCCTTCATGTAAGAAAGGAGTCGATGGGTATGAAAACAAGTTTCCTCTTGAATGGCCTCACAATTTAAATGTCGGCAGAAGAAAACAGCAGAGAATGTAACATGCAGAGAGCAGAGTGAGACAGGGAAAAGGAGATCAGTGGCAGCACAGCTGGCTGAACTCTCGCTGAGGGAAACTCCATATTTCAAAAGATAACCAAAATGAGGTTAGCTACAAGCAGCTGTATTTTTTAGTTGACTAGTAAGTAATTATGAAATCCACGCTATAGTAAATTCCTGGGTACAATATGCTACATGCTTCTTCTCACACCCTCAGACCTCAAAACCAGGGTATAACTTGGAAGCTAGTTGCTATTAGTTTACCTTGAATTCTGTCTAGAATGTAAACAGTGTGGTTCAATTTGTCTGATTTACAGTAAACCACAAAATCCTCAGTTTTAGGGTATCAACATCTGGAAATAAAAACCGACCTAAACGTCTAAGCTGTTGCTGGTGGCTGTAGAGATGCCAGCCAATCAGGTCCAATTTCGGGGACCCTCTTTATACTCACACTTTAGATGAAAAAGTTCTGAAATACAGCTTTAATTCAGGTTGCCAAGGAAACAAAGTCTATAGCTAACTTACCTTTAACTGTCTAACTGCATCTTTAACAATCTCTGTGCCTTTCGGTTGATCAACTTCTGTGTTTCCAAGAAACTAGAACAAAAAAAGGGAAGATTAAAGTGCCACTTTACTTTAGGCATACAGCTATGCAGAATTATGATGCAGTCATAATGCACTACAAGACTGTTAAAGTTTCTATGAATCCCTCACAATGTAGTGTATCAAAGAAACAAAAGAGTATGGGAGGGTTTTTTTAGGACATTTTTTTTCTCCAACAGATGGAGCCAAGGACCTTCAGACAGAAGCTTCATCTGTCCATGGAAACAGTTGCTCTGCCAATACAGCTCATTTACATGTACATTTACATCATTTAGCAGACGCTCTTATCAAGAGCGACTTACAGTAGTGATACTTTTCATACTTTTTTTTTTTACTTTTTTTTTTTCTTCGTACTTTTCATACTTTGTTTTGGCTTGCCTGGATAAGTTATGAGTCTGGACGTTCCTCTGCTCTGCCTCCCATGTAATGGCAACAGGCTGTTTCAACATGACATGGAGTAACATCAAGGGTCTTCTATAAAAATATGTACGGTTTGCTAAGATACTTAATTCATCAACATAACGAGATGTAACAGTTGTTTCAACATTCAAGCCATGGATATCAGTGGTTCTGCCCATACTGTATCCTGGTCTATGAGTGGGCCCACTTACTTCCTTCATCATTTCATTCCAATACAGAACACATAGTGGGTAAACAAGGCCAAAAAATCTGGGCAAACGATGCAAAAAAAGCCACTTCACACTCCTATCAATAGAGCGCAAAGACAAATGGTGTAAGTGTTTCACACCGCCCGTAACAAATGCTGTCTGCACTCAAGGACACATATGAGCGCAGACGGGTTATGCAAGTGGATGCAGCGAATGACAGATGCGCTACATGGGATTGAGTGTCTCATTCCTGACCTGATGTGTTCTGAGATCCATCACCTTGAGAAGTTCATTGATACAGGTACTGTTCCGTTCTGCACCCCACCCCCACCCACTGCCTTATGTAATGTTCGCTCTCCTCTCTGCTGTTCCAGTCTTCAGCGGCAGCAGACGTGGCAGTTTGGACTTTCTACTTTAGCCTTTTGCTTCACTTCAATAAGACATCTCTGGAGCCGCCGGATGCTCACTGACAGGCTCTCTGCCTCCAATAAGAGGGGAGTGTTTGGGTGAAGCACAGCAGAAGCACAGCCCCGAGACAGGATACTTTGTTCTCAAGAGTTAGCTTTTAAGGTGTGTGCCGCATTAGAAAAGACAGAGAAGACTAAACAACTTCATTGTTTTGTAACTCTCTGTGTTTCCAGTGAAAATCTACTGCAGTGTTTGCAGTCAGTCAGGAAATGTTTCTAGGCTACCTGTGTGTTTGTACTCTTTGACTGTTACTGCCTGAAGCAGACACCTTGTTCAGAGCTAGGGGAAACTCAATAGGTTCATATTGAAAGGGTTTTTTTTATTTTGGACAAAGCCATAGTCAAAAGCCAAGTAAACTTAACTTTTTCAAGGCCTACCCACGTCATTTCAACAACACAAAAATAAAATGTGATGACATAGAATCAAGTTTCAAGAATCAACATGAAAAACAGATTAGATTTCAAAAAAAGTAATCAACTTAAGGGAATTTGTCTTTTTTCACCCCGATTTTAACCTAAATCCAATGACATGGTGAATTGTTTTGTTGATTTCACGTTGAATTCACGTTAGTTGACAAATCAACGAAATGTAAATCAAAAATAGACATTGAACTGACGTCTGTGCCCAGTGGGTAGGTACTGTACGCATGGTGGCTGAACATCCAACTGCATCAGTGAAACGTTCTTATTTTTATATCTAACTTCCAGAACCTGTGTGAGGGAACATGAAAAAAGTCATTACCTTGGCATTGTAGGGTATGTAATGCTTTGCCAGCGCCTCTGGAGTATGCATCCAGGATTTATCTGAAAACAGATATCACAGTGGGCTTTCGTAAAAAATTGATGTGGTTAACGTTCATAAATCATTAATCTTTTAAATAACAATAATAACAACAATAATAATAACAACAACAATAACAATAATAATAACAACAACAATAACAACAACAACAACAACAATATATTAATAATAATAATAATAATAATAATAATAATAATAATAATAATAATAATACATGGGACTTATATAGTGCTTTTCAAGGACCCAAAGTCACTTCACAATTGTAAAAAAATAAAAAAATAAAAATTTAACAGGAGTCAAAACCAAACATCAGACTAAACAAAAACATGAATAAAGAGAGGGAGGAGGTCTGAATCAAGGTTATTTCTTGTCTTATGTCATTATATAAAGAATGAATTAAGGTTCTTTATTTTCTAATGTCATTATTTAAAGAATGAATCAAGGGAATCTAAGAAACATTCAAACAAAAGAGATGTAACTTTAAGAAATGTAAGGCTCGCACACATCGCACGGAATGTGGATCTAGCGTTCGTCTGCCGATCGTTCAGAGCATTGTGTTTTAGGGACCACCCGCTGTAGATGTCTGACTGGCTACATTTTTCATGCGATTCTACATGTAAAATCGGTGTGCACTCGGTTCACAAATGACGTTCAGAGATGCTAAGTACTCTGGGTCAGCAACCACTACTGTTGTATCTGAACCCTGTGGAAACCGCTACAGCCAACTCTACGTTACTGGAATTATATTGTAAAGGCAGTCGAAGAATACAAATATTTCAGATGATTATTCATTTCTGGGGTTCAGTCTCCGAGCTCATAAATCTAAGATTTTCTCTCCAATTCATAAAGGTTGGCGCCTTGCAGTGACGCAAGTAACTGCTTGCCTCGTGACTCCTAACTCTTTTTTTATTTATTTGACATTGAGTACAAGACTAAACATTAAAGAATAAATTAAATTATTATAAATTATTATATTATGCACTCTCTTCCTTCAATCAGGGACTGATAGTCTTATACGGTGCAAGAATCTCCCTAAATCCCCCCCCCGTTTTAATTTCTCAATTTCTCCACTTCTCCTCAATGAAGCTCAAAACAAATATACCTAACAATGACCTTGAAACACACTAAACCTGTAGGGCCTGGTCAATATAGACCTTTCCCAACAAACTTGGGATGTCAATTACAGTAACTATACCATAGCCATACCAGTAACTATGCCATAGCCATACCAGTAACTATACCATAGCCATACCAGTAACTATACCATAGCCATACCAGTAACTATACCATAGCCATACCAGTAACTATGCCATAGCCATACCAGTAACTATACCATAGCCATACCAGTAACTATACCATAGCCATACCAGTAACTATACCATAGCCATACCAGTAACTATACCATAGCTATACCAGTAACTATACCATAGCCATACCAGTAACTATACCATAGCCATACCAGTAACTATACCATAGCCATACCAGTAACTATACCATAGCTATACCAGTAACTATACCATAGCCATACCAGTAACTATACCATAGCCATACCAGTAACTATGCCATAGCCATACCAGTAACTATACCATAGCCATACCAGTAACTATACCATAGCCATACCAGTAACTATACCATAGCATACCAGTAACTATACCATAGCCATACCAGTAACTATACCATAGCATACCAGTAACTATACCATAGCATACCAGTAACTATACCATAGCCATACCAGTAACTATACCATAGCCATCCAGTAACTATACCATAGCCATACCAGTAACTATACCATAGCCATACCAGTAACTATACATACCATACCAGTAACTATACCATAGCCATACCAGTAACTATACCATAGCCATACCAGTAACTATACCATAGCTGTACCAGTAACTATACCATAGCCATACCAGTAACTATACCATAGCCACAACAGCCCTGACCAACACAGCTGACCCCTCTGCTAAGCACTAGCTCTTCCATCCCCACCATACTACTTATCCTCAAAGAGTAAATGAGTGAGATCCATCCCCCCCCCCCCCCCCCCCCTCTAACTATGATGAATGGGGGCAGGTCCTGGACTCACTGCGGCGAAGGCAGGTAGCCCAGACAGTTTTTCTATGTGTCAGCACCCAGTCTTGATTAATAGAGGCGGCCCCACCTCTCGTGCCCACCTTTATATAAACCGTTAAAAGGAGGACTCTAAAGTCGCTAAAAAAAAATGGACTGGCACCGGGGCGTAAAAGATTAGACGGCGGAAATAAAGTGCCGTGGGCACGAGAGGATGCATCTGAGAGTCTGAAGGTCAGTTTGTGTGGCGCGTGTGTCCTCAACAGTCTGATTCAGTGACAGCTCTAGGGTTACCTGTCATGTTGAAAAGAGGTGCCCGATGGAGACTTTAGGGGGACGATGCATCTCAATGCTTCTCTACTACTAAAGACAGACTGGTTCTGAACATGTACAGTACATGTATACAGTTGAAGGTGGAAGTTTACATACACTTAGGTTGGAGTCATTAAATCTCGTTTTTCAACCACTCCACACATTTCTTGTTAACAAACTACAGTTTTGGCAAGTCGGATAGGACATCTACTTTCTGCATGACACAAGTCATTTTTCCAATAATTGTTTACATACAGATTATTTCACTTATAATTCACTGCATCAGAATTCCAGTGGGTCAGAAGTTTACATACAAAAAGTTGACTGTGCCTTTAAACAGCTTGGAAAATTCCAGAAAATGATGTCATGGCTTTAGAAGCTTCTGGTAGGCTAATTGACATCATTTGAGTCAATTAGAGGGGCACCTGTGGATGTATTTCAAGGCCTACCTTCAAACTCAGTGCCTCTTTGCTTGACATCATGGGGAAATCAAAAGAAATCAGCCAAGACCTCAGAACAAATATTGTAGACTTCCACAAGTCTGGTTCATCCTTGGGAGCAATTTCCAAACACATGAAGGTACCACGTTCATCTGTACAAACAATAGTACGCAAGTATAAACACCATGGGACCACGCAGCTGTCATACCGCTCAGGAAGGAGACGCGTTCTGTCTCCTAGAGATTAAACGTACTTTGGTGTGAAAAGTGCAAATCAATCCCAGAACAACATCAAAGGACCTTGTGAAGATGCTGGAGGAAACCGGTACAAAAGTATCTATATCCACAGTAAAATGAGTCCTATATCGACATAACCTGAAAGGCCGCTCAGCAAGGAAGAAGCCACTGCTGTAGCATCATGCTGTAGGGGTGCTTTGCTGCAGGAGGGACTGGTGCACTTCACAAAATAGATGGCATCATGAGGAAGGAAAATTATGTGGATATATTGAAGCAACATCTCAAGACATCAGTCAGGAAGTTAAAGATTGGTCGAAAATGGGTCTTCCAAATGGACAATGACCCCAAGCATACTTCCAAAGTTGTGGCCAAATGGCTTAAGGACAACAAAGTCAAGGTAATGGAGTGGCCATCACAAAGCCCTGACCTCAATCCTATAGAAAATGTGTGGGCAGAACTGAAAAAGCATGTGCGAGCAAGGAGGCCTACAAACCTGACTCAGTTACACCAGCTCTGTCAGGAGGAATTGGCCAAAATTCACCCAACTTATTGTGGGAATCTTGTGGAAGGCTACCCGAAACGTTTGACCCAAGTTAAACAATTTAAAGGCAATGCTACCAAATACTAATTGAGTGTATGTAAACCTCTGACCCACTGGGAATGTGATGAAAGAAATAAAAGCTGAAATAAATCATTCTCTCTACTATTATTCTGATGTCTGGAATTGTGAAAAAACGTAGTTTAAATGTATTTGGCTAAGGTGTATGTAAACTTCCGACTTCAACTGTATGTGGTATATGGCCAATATACCACGGCTAAGGGTTGTCCTTATGCACAACACGACGCGGAATGCCTGGATACAGCCCTTATCCGTGGTATATTGGCCATATACCACAACCCCCCGAGGTGCCTTATTGCTATTATAAACTGGTTACCAATGTAATTAGAGCAGTAAAAATAAATGTTTTGTCATACCCATGGTGTACGGTCTGATATACCTCAGCTGTAAGCCAAATCAGCATTCAGGGCTCGAACCACCCAGTTTATAATGTCTGATATAACATGGCTGTCAGCCAATCAGCATTCAGGGCTCGAACACCCAGTTTATAACAGCCAATAAAGTAGCACACAAAGACATGATACTATAATACGGATCTGTTTTCTTTCAAATTAAATGCCTCGCACAGTGGCACTAATGTAATAGTCCCAACAGTACAAACCACGCCCATCTGCCACTCCAGACACACTCAATCAAACACATTTCAAAGTATTTGAAAGTAATCAAACAATACTAGAACATCAAAGCTAATGCTTTGTGGGACTTAGAACTCAGAACCACAGTTAGTAGTAAAGCCTTCAGAAGTTCCAGACAGATCAAGCTCAGGCTCATTATCTCACCCATTCACTTTAATGAATTACACAGCTAATGTTCCCATGGGCCAGGCTGGACAGTAGCCATCACCGGAACTGGGCCCTTACAGGAAAACAATGGCCAATTAATCTACCATTTGTCTCATTTAGAGTTCTGTTGGATCAATCAGTAGGCCCCGGGGGACTGAAATCTAAAATACCTCCAGCAGAAATGTCCGTACTCCAGATATCCGTTTTAATTAAATGGAGTGGACGGATACAAATGGTTAATCATTAAGGGTAAAATAAAATACAATGGATCTTCTCCAACAATCTCTTCCAACACAATGCAATACAATAAAATGAGGGGAGTGTTCCTTCGTCAATGCCAGTGAGTGGGAATCAGAGTGGGGACCGTTCTTGTTTTCCATATTTCCAACCGTCATCGCCTTTAGGGTAATGAGGATACTGATGACAGTAAAGAATTTAGCCTCAACAGTCGATGATGGTTTCCTATTTTATGTTGCACCGATCTCAAGGCCATTTTTAATCGTATTTTCGAGAAATTTTCAACCTTTGTTGTTTGTTATTTCTACAAGAGTGATGCCTTACAACTATCCCAAAAGGTTACTCATCATACTTCCAGAGGACAACTCAAAAGGTCAACCTGACAAGAGCACCACTGCTAATTGCTCAATCAAATCAAATTTGATTGGTCGTGTACACAAAATACTAACAATACACCAAAAATAAAAGAAAGGAATTAAGAAATATAGACTTATTAGAATGAGCAAGGTCCAGAATATAAATATGTATATACAAATATATGTGTAGACAGTATCTATGTACAGTATGTGAATAGAAAAGGTGTGTACAGCAGTAGTTATATAGGATGATCCTTGACTAGAATACAGTATATACATATAAAGTGGGTAAAACAGTATGTAAACATGAATATTAACATTATTAATTCTGAAAAAAATAATTAACTGTAAGTCGCTCTGGATAAGAGCGTCTGCTAAATGACTAAAATGTAAAATGTAAATCCAGTGTTCAATGACTATGTATTGTACATAGGACAGCAGCAGTCTCTAACACCTTGTAAGCTTAAACCTTGATAAGAGTACACTGTAGGTACAGTGATTGCAGCACAATTGCTTCGATAAGGTTGTTCAATGCAGGGAAAACAGTAATTCACCACTGCATTCGATCGAGTCAAAGCTGACAATGAGATTGCTGGGTATGCAAACCCTTTGTCAAGCCATGCGTCCGTTTGCTGAGCAAAGCAGCCATGCAAGCAGTGGTTCACATCTACAGCTAGGGGAAATGTCATAGGCTAAGTAACATTCAAAAGTCTTAAAATTACATTAAGGCAGTGCCCTTTGAGGGAACCATTAGCAGAGAAATGCTCATAGATAATTTCCCTGTCAAAGAGAATGCAGCTTTTCAAAAGACAGTAGCTATATAATGAATGACCCAAACGTTTGTCAGGGAACAGCTCTGTTTTTCTTCTTTTGTAGATGGACCTCTGTATACCTGTAAATTAACGTCATATTCATATACAATATGTTCCATATACAGTGCCTTGCAAAAGTATTCATCCCCCTTGGCGTTTTTCCTATTTTGTTGCATTACAAATTGTACTTTAAATGGATTGTTATTTGGATGTCATGTAATGGACATACACAAAAAGTGAAATGAAAAAAACCTCTTTCTTTCAAAAAAGTATAAAAAATAAATAACGGAAAAGTGGTACGTGCATATGTATTCACCCCCTTTGCTATGAAGCCCCTAAATAAGATCTGGTGCAAACAATTACCTTCAGAAGTCACGTAATTAGTTAAATAAAGTTCACCTTTGTGCAATCTGATTGTCACATGATCTGTCAAAAGATCTCAGTGTATATACAGTGGGGGAAAAAAGTATTTAGTCAGCCACCAATTGTGCAAGTTCTCCCACTTAAAAAGATGAGAGAGGCCTGTAATTTTCATCATAGGTACACGTCAACTATGACAGACAAAATGAGAAAAAAAAATCCAGAAAATCACATTGTAGGATTTTTAATGAATTTATTTGCAAATTATGGTGGAAAATAAGTATTTGGTCAATAACAAAAGTTTCTCAATACTTTGTTATATACCCTTTGTTGGCAATGACACAGGTCACACATTTTCTGTAAGTCTTCACAAGGTTTTCACACACTGTTGCTGGTATTTTGGCCCATTCCTCCATGCAGATCTCCTCTAGAGCAGTGATGTTTTGGGGCTGTCGCTGGGCAACACAGACTTTCAACTCCCTCCAAAGATTTTCTATGGGGTTGAGATCTGGAGACTGGCTAGGCCACTCCAGGACCTTGAAATGCTTCTTACGAAGCCACTCCTTCGTTGCCCGGGCGGTGTGTTTGGGATCATTGTCATGCTGAAAGACCCAGCCACGTTTCATCTTCAATGCCCTTGCTGATGGAAGGAGGTTTTCACTCAAAATCTCACGATACATGGCCCCATTCATTCTTTCCTTTACACGGATCAGTCGTCCTGGTCCCTTTGCAGAAAAACAGCCCCAAAGCATGATGTTTCCACCCCCATGCTTCACAGTAGGTATGGTGTTCTTTGGATGCAACTCAGCATTCTTTGTCCTCCAAACACGACGAGTTGAGTTTTTACCAAAAAGTTCTATTTTGGTTTCATCTGACCATATGACATTCTCCCAATCCTCTTCTGGATCATCCAAATGCACTCTAGCAAACTTCAGACGGGCCTGGACATGTACTGGCTTAAGCAGGGGGACACGTCTGGTACTGCAGGATTTGAGTCCCTGGCGGCGTAGTGTGTTACTGATGGTAGGCTTTGTTACTTTGGTCCCAGCTTCTGCAGGTCATTCACTAGGTCCCCCCGTGTGGTTCTGGGATTTTTGCTCACCGTTCTTGTGATCATTTTGACCCCACGGGGTGAGATCTTGCGTGGAGCCCCAGATCGAGGGAGATTATCAGTGGTCTTGTATGTCTTCCATGTCCTAATAATTGCTCCCACAGTTGATTTCTTCAAACCAAGCTGCTTACCTATTGCAGATTCAGTCTTCCCAGCCTGGTGCAGGTCTACAATTTTGTTTCTGGTGTCCTTTGACAGCTCTTTGGTCTTGGCCATAGTGGAGTTTGGAGTGTGACTGTTTGAGGTTGTGGACAGGTGTCTTTTTTACTGATAACAAGTTCAAACAGGTGCCATTAATACAGGTAACGAGTGGAGGACAGAGGAGCCTCTTAAAGAAGAAGTTACAGGTCTGTGAGAGCCAGAAATCTTGCTTGTTTGTAGGTGACCAAATACTTATTTTCCACCATAATTTGCAAATAAATTCATTAAAAAATCCTACAATGTGATTTTCTGGATTTTTTTCTCTCAATTTGTCTGTCATAGTTGACGTGTACCTATGATGAAAATTACAGGCCTCTCTAATTTTTTTAAGTGGGAGAACTTGCACAATTGGTGGCTGACTAAATACTTTTTTTCCCCACTGTACACCTGTTCTGAAAGGCCCCAGAGTCTGCAACACCACTAAATAAGGGGCACCACCAAGCAAGCGGCACCATGAAGACCAAGGAGCTCTCCAAACAGGTCAGGGACAAAGTTGTGGAGAAGTACAGATCTGGGTTGGATTATAAAAAATATCCGAAACTTTGAACATCCCACAGAGCACCATTAAATCCATTATTAAAAAATTGAAAGAATATGCACCACAACAAACCTGCCAGGAGAGGGCCGCCCACCAAAACTCACGGACCAAGCAAGGAGGGCATTAATCAGAGAGGCAACAAAGAGATCAAAGATAACCCTGAAGGAGCTGCAAAGCTCCACAGCGGAGATTGGAGTATCTGTCCATAGGACCACTTTAAGCCATACACTCCACAGAGCTGGGCTTTACGGAAGAGTGGCTAGAAAAAAGCAATTGCTTAAAGAAAAAAATAAGCAAACACGTTTGGTGTTCGCCAAAAGGCATGTGGGAGACTCCCCAAACATATGGAAGAAGGTACTCTGGTCAGATGAGACTAAAATTTAGCTTTTTGGCCATCAAGGAAAACGCTATGTCTGGCGCAAACCCAACACCTCTCATCACCCCGAGAACACCATCCCCACAGTGAAGCATGGTGGTGGCAGCATCATGCTGTGGGGATGTTTTTCATCGGCAAGGACTGGGAAACTGGTTAGAATTGAAGGAATGACGGATACAGGGAAATTCTTGAGGGAAACCTGTTTCAGTCTCCAGAGATTTGAGACTGGGACGGAGGTTCACTTTCCAGCAGGACAATGACCCTAAGCATACTGCTAAAGCAACACTTGAGTGGTTTAAGGGGAAACATTTAAATGTCTTGGAATGGCTTAGTCAAAGCCCAGACCTCAATCCAATTGAGAATCTGTGGTATGACTTAACGATTGCTGAACACCAGCGGACCCATCCAACTTGAAGGAGCTGGAGCAGTTTTGCCTTGAAGAATGGGCAAAAATCCCAGTGGCTAGATGTGCCAAGGTTATAGAGACATACCCCAAGAGACTTGCAGCTGTAATTGCTGCAAAAGGTAACTCTACAAAGTATTGACTTTGGGGGGTGACCAGTTATGCACGCTCAAGTTTTCTTTTTTTTGGTCTTATTTCTTGTTTGTTTCACCCCCAACATTTTTTTGCATCTTTAAAGTGGTAGGCATGTTGTGTTAATCAAATGATACAAACCCCCCAAAAATCAATTTTAATTCCAGGTTGTAAGGCAACAAAATAGGAAAAATGCCAAGGGGGATGAATACTTTCGCAAGCCACTGTATGGAACTTACAGTAACAGGCCCCAAACACATTTAGTACAATCACTCTCCCATCCCCATAAAAATGCTAGTTGTCAATCATTTTTACAAGGCACAGGTCCCTGTATTATTTGTCTAGCTGCCTCATTCGCCGGCTGGTCAGAGGAGTTAAGCTAAGCTCAGTTTAACACCTCTGATACGTTGTTTTACAGTTTTTCTGGATATGAGCTGCCAATGTGGTCCAGAGAAATTAAAAAAGCCACATTTTTCATATGAGTGAGTTCATCTGTTGATCTCCAAATGACAAAGAGGGCATTAAAAATGGATATACAGTAACACCCTGCATTGTCGTTAGTGTACATTTTTACATTTCAGTAGAAGCTCTTATCCAAAGCGACTTACAGGAGCATTTAGGGTTAAGGGCCCTGTTAAAGGGCACATCGACCGATTATTTACCTGACACATTTTCTTTGTTTTTAATCCTCAATCTCCAGTCATTGTTACTCATTGAAATAACTGAGATCAATTCCAGGATAGCACATGGAATCAGGAACCAAATTGCCCCATTCACAGCCTGTTTTAATGAGTTAGACTTTGTACATTATTTTCCTGTTTCCTCTATGGAAATATGTCTGTCTGTTTGAGTCTGTCTGTCTGTTTGAGTCTGTCTGTTTGAGTCTGTCTGTCTGTCTGTTTGAGTCTGTCTGTCTGTCTGTTTGAGTCTGTCTGTCTGTCTGTTTGAGTCTGTCTGTCTGTCTGTTTGAGTCTGTCTGTCTGTTTGAGTCTGTCTGTCTGTCTGTCTGTCTGTCTGTCTGTCTGTCTGTGTGTGTGCACCATCAAAATACACCTATATTTTGTTTTACACTGTTACAAGGCTGTAGAGTACTGTGTCTGTCATTACTGCCCTGAAAGAAATTGACGAGAGAGATTTGCACCCAATTATTTCTTCATCATCATCAGATACAAAAGGTTATCTGTGTCATGGGCCCCTGGTGATTGCAGGTCAGCCCTGGTGATTACAGGTCAGCCCTGGTGATTACAGGTTACCCCTGGTAATTACATAATTACATGTTGCCCCGATGATTACAGGTCACCCCTGGTGATTAAAGGTCACCCCTGGTGATTACAGGTCACCCCTGGTGATTACAGGTCAGCCCTGGTGATTACAGGTCAGCCCGTTTCACTTGGAAACACAATGGTATTTTGACCTGTTGAGTGTACTTCAACTGCATGTCTCAGTAAAATATTTACATGGACGAAATAATAATTTACGAAATAATAATGTACCTGGTTGCTGGTGGACACAGAGACGTTTGCACTATTTCAATTTGCATCTCATTATGGTAAAGGTTAGCGTGACCGGGTTAGATACATGCGGATCACGCCGTTTAACCTTTTACTGCAGTGGGCTATATCAGGGTCAAACAGAGTGTTTGTTGGTAGTCTTAAACAAATCTACTTTGAAACAAAAGTATACACCTCACACACATGGTTATGGGCTTAGAAAAAAGAAGATACAGTGGGGAAAAAAAGTATTTAGTCAGCCACCAACTGTGCAAGTTCTCCCACTTAAAACGATGAGAGAGGCCTGTCATTTTCATCATAGGTACACGTCAACTATGACAGACATATTGAGAAAAAAAAATCCAGAAAATCACATTGTAGGATTTTTAATGAATTTATTTGCTAATTATGGTGGAAAATAAGTATTTGGTCAACTACAAACAAGCAAGATTTCTGGCTCTCACAGACCTGTAACTTCTTCTTTAAGAGGCTCCTCTGTCCTCCACTCATTACCTGTATTAATGGCACCTGTTTGAACTTGTTATCAGTATAAAAGACACCTGTCCACAACCTCAAACAGTCACACTCCAAACTCCACTATGGTCAAGACCAAAGAGCTGTCAAAGGACACCAGAAACAAAATTGTAGACCTGCACCAGGCTGGGAAGACTGAATCTGCAATAGGTAAGCAGCTTGGTTTGAAGAAATCAACTGTGGGAGCAATTATTAGGAAATGGAAGACATACAAGACCACTGATAATCTCCTTCGATCTGGGGCTCCACGCAAGATCTCACCCCGTGGGGTCAAAATGATAAACAAGAATGGTGAGAAAAAATCCCAGAACCACACGGGGGGACCTAGTGAATGACCTGCAGAGAGCTGGGACCAAAGTAACAAAGCCTACCATCAGTAACACACTACGCCGCCAGGGACTCAAATCCTGCAGTGCCAGACGTGTCCCCCTGCTTAAGCCAGTACATGTCCAGGCCCGTCTGAAGTTTGGGAGAATGTCATATGGTCAGATCAAACCAAAATATAACTTTTTGGTAAAAACTCAACTCATCGTGTTTGGAGGACAAAGAATGCTGAGTTGCATCCAAAGAACACCATACCTACTGTGAAGCATGGGGGTGGAAACGTCATGCTTTGGGGCTGATTTTCTGCAAAGGGACCAGGACAACTGATCCGTGTAAAGGAAAGAATGAATGGGGCCATGTATCGTGAGATTTTGAGTGAAAACCTCCTTCCATCAGCAAGGGCATTGAAGATGAAACGTGGCTGGGTCTTTTAGCATGACAATGATCCCAAACACACCTCCCGGGCAACGAAGGAGTGGCTTCGTAAGAAGCATTTCAAGGTCCTGGAGTGGCCTAACCAGTCTCCAGATCTCAACCCCATAGAAAATCTTTGGAGGGAGTTGAAAGTCCGTGTTGCCCAGCGACAGCCCCAAAACATCACTGCTCTAGAGGAGATCTGCATGGAGGAATGGGCCAAAATACCAGCAACAGTGTGTGAAAAGACTTACAGAAAGACTTACAGAAAACGTTTGACCTGTGTCATTGCCAACAAAGGGTATATAACAAAGTATTAGAAACTTTGTATGACAATCTTATTTCCACCATAATTTGCAATACTAATAAAAATCCTACCATGATTTCGGATTTTTTTTTCTCATTGTCTGTATAGTAGGTACCTTTGAAATAAGGCCTCTCCATTTTTAAGTGGAGAACTTGACAATTGTGGCTGAAATACTTTGCACTGTACCATGTCAGATATAGAGTTGAAATGTATTCAATTTTGAGTTTGCATCCCAATATTACACTTTACACCACAGAAGACTGAACTATATCAAAACTCTTTAACATAGAACCACGGATTTTCGGCAGGTTTTTTTAAAATAATGTTGATTAATTATGAAAAATATGAATAACATTCCACCCCTGAGGCCACTAGATCATTTGACTGCAGGAAAGGTCTACAGGGATATCTACTTAATCTATTATAAAAATCTGTCGATGTGCCCTTGAGCAAGGCACTTAACCCTAATTGCTCCTGTAAGTCGCTCTGGATAAGAGCGTCTGCTAAATGACTAAAATGTAAATGTAATAAAAGGATAAAAAGTAAAATGCACATTTCCAGCGTTGAAAAAAGTGCTTCACTTGCACAGTGTTTGATGAATCACACGCACTACTTTGATCATAAGGAGTCTTTTATACACATTCTGCATTATACCACGTTACAAAACTAACTCTTTTAACTCAATCTGAAAAGTGGGAATTGCTAATATTGACACCCCTGTTGAAACAGAAATCAAAATCAAACAGTCAAGCTCCTACACAGTAGTGCCCACAATATGTATAGCAGACTGAAGTATTTCAGCGATAATTGCATTCAAATTCAGTGTGAAATTGAAAACTGATTTTGGGTAAAGAAATTACATTCTTTGGATGATGGGACAGAAAACCAGATTATTTTTACTAGAGGAAATCTATTCTTATTTTACGAACCGAGCTGACAATTCAATATTTTAAAAGGTCATTCCTCCAGGTAAAATGAAAAGAAGAAAGCAATGGAATGGGGTATCCATCCATCAATGTCTTCTAGGAAAAGCAAGATACACTACATGACCAAAAGTATGTGGACACCTGCTCGTCGAACCTCTCACTCCAAAATCATGGGCAGTTGGTCCACCCTTTGTTGCTATAACATTCTCCACTCTTCTGGAAAGGCTTTCGTCTAGATGTTGGAACATTGCTGCGGGGACTTGCTTCCATTCAGCCACAACAGCATTAGTGAGGTCGGGCACTGATGTTGGGCGATTAGGCCTGGCTCACAGTTGGCGTTCCAATTCGTCCCAAAGGTGTTCGATCGGGTTGAGGTCAGGGCTCTGTGCAGGCCAGTCAAGTTCTTCCACACCGATCTCGACAAACCATTTCTGTATGGACCTCGCTTTGTGCACAGGGGCATTGTCATGCTGAAACAGGAAAGGGCCTTCGCCAAACTGTTGCCACAAAGTTGTAAGTACAGAATAGTTTAGAATGTCAATGTATGCTGTAGCGTTAAGATTTCCCTTCACTGTTGCTAAGGGGCCTAGCCCGAATCATGAAAAACAGCCCCAGACCATTATTCCTCCTCCACCAAACATTACAGTTGGCAATATGCATTCGGGCAGGTAACGTTCTCCTGGCATCCGCCAAACCCAGATTCGTCCGTCGGACGATGAATCACGCTTCACCAGATGGTGAAGCGTGATTCATTACTCTAGAAAATGCGTTTCCACTGCTCCATGAGTCTAATGGCTGCGAGCTTTACACCACACACTTGGCATTGCGACACTTGGCATTGCGCATGGTGACTTGGCATTGCGCATGGTGATCTTAGGCTTGTGTGCGTCTGCTCGGCCATTTCACGAAGCTCCCGACGAAACAGTTCTCGTGCTGACGTTGCTTCCAGAAGCAGTTTGGAACTCGGTAGTGAGTGTTGCAACCGAGGACAGACCAATTTTTCCACGCTACGTGCTTCAGCACTCGGCGGTCCTGTTCTGTGAACTTGTGTGGCCTACCACTTGCAGCTGAGCCGTTGTTGCTCCTGGACGTTTCCACTTCACAATAACAGCACTTAGAGTTGACTGGGACAGCTCTAGCAGGGGAGAAATTTGACGAATTGACTTGTTGGAATGGTGGTATCCTATGACAGTGACACGTTGAAAGTCACTGAGCTCTTCAGTAAGGCCATTCTACTGCCAATGTTTGTCTATGGAGATTGCATGGCTGTGTACCATATTTTATACACCTGTCAGCAACGGGTGTGGCTGAAATAGCCGAATCCACTAATTTGAAGGGGTGTCCACATACTTTTGTATATATAGTGTATATCAGACTAAAATGATGTTTAGCATGTAGTCAGACTGACCAGACAAATAACTAGTGATTTGTTCTTCACCTTGCAGAATGAGGAACAGTATTTTGCAGAATGAGGAACAGTATTTTGCAGAATGAGGAACAGTATTTTGCAGAACGAGGAACAGTATTTCGCAGAACGAGGAACAGTATTTCGCAGAATGAGGAACAGTATTTTGCAGAACAAGGAACAGTATTTTTGCAGAACGAGCAACAGTATTTTGCAGAACAAGCAACAGTATTTTGCAGAACGAGGAACAGTATTTCGCAGAATGAGGAACAGTATTTTGCAGAACGAGGAACAGTATTTTGCAGAATGAGGAACAGTATTTTGCAGAACGAGCAACAGTATTTTGCAGAACGAGCAACAGTATTTTTGCAGAATGAGGAACAGTATTTTGCAGAACGAGGAACAGTATTTTGCAGAACGAGGAACAGTATTTTGCAGAACGAGGAACAGTATTTTGCAGAATGAGGAACAGTATTTTGTTTGTCCTCCTGATTTTACAACCACATTTTGGCATCAGTCCAAATAACTAAATACAAGTTGAAAGAATGTGTAAGAACGAGAAAAACCTATTCTAACAAAGTGATTGTTAACCAAGTCTGCAACAACTTTGCTCATAGGCCACTAGAAATGTAGAAGTAATAATGCTAATTCATCAATCGCAAAAGGAAGAAAAGTACCAGTGTTTAAAGACTACAATGAAGAATCTGTGCTAAAACGTTCAATCTCTGGCTTTTAATAACCACAAAAAATGTATCCATTTGCACAGTCATGCTAAGCTTCCCCTAAAGTAAATGTAATTGAACTTGACAAAATTATATAATTACTGGTGTCTACACAAAAATAAATACAATCCTTCAAAACACGACACCAGAGACCATGATTTAGCCACTGAGGACCATTAGCGTCTTTCAAAAAATTAGCTGTCGTTTTTTATTTTATTTTATGACAAGACCAGGGCATAATCTACAGTCGGGAAGCGCGCAATTTGTGCAGCGTGTGCATCTTATCATATAGCTAATTGCTGCTTTGTGGATGTCAGTGAAAAGCTAAAAATAGGCCTATCACATTATTCCAATCGCTGGATAAACAACAAACAAGAGGAGACAATGAAAATAATAGTTTTAGCTTAATTTATGACTATCTAGTCATCGCATTAGGAACATTAGGCCATCTTACATTAGTCTGCAAATGCGTCTAATACTTTATCATAAATGTGTGTATATATTTTTTGCTTCCCCTTACTTGAAAGTCAAGTGCCACCTACGATGCTCTACCTATTCCGTGAAAATACATTTGACTGGAGCCAACCAGAGAGCACAAAAATAACACAAGTACCGAGAGGCGGGACAAACCAGCAGTGTCTCCCTGTCATCGCTCGCTTCTTTGACCGACAGGCGCCTGTCCTGTCAACAGATCACTAGAAGATGCATATCGTTCATTCTAGCGGGAGAAGGCTACACTGACTTTTCTGACTAGCGAATTGAAACTTTTAAAAAATGAAAAGAAGCCTCGTTAATTAATGAAGTGGAACAGTAGCCCGGCAAGCAATGATGCTGTTATCGGCTATTTAGCCAACAGCCGCCGCTAATGGAAAACACAGATACCCTTTTCGTATGTTCTTACCAAGCCCTATTCTTTATCAGCTGTGAGCAATGCTCTGGTAATGAACGGTTGTCTCCAAAAGCCCTGTGTTCTGTGTTGCTATGGGGTAAAATGTCTGTTTTGTTCGGGGAGAGTTCGGAGGAACCTTTGTCCTCTGCTGAAAGACTTTAATGCCCTCTTTACTGTGCCAGATGGCTGTATGCATCTCCGTCGTTCTCTACAATCACACAGAACTGGACTGTGTGAAAGTATGTTTGGAGGCATTTGCGGCCCATCAGTACGAGGCACAACCACTGTGCCTGGGGAACACTTCACTGACTACTTTCTGTGTCAGCTGTGAAGCCATAACTTCTGTGTTATTGCCAAACCTCTCAATAGACTTCTTAAAATGTGCCCTCCAGAGTCTGAGTCGATGATATGAGAAAGCATCAACTTAGATTCCTGAGAAAGTAAAACCCAATAAAAATTACACGAGCGGCAGCGGTGGGACAGATGTCGGTAAATACAACAAGCTGTTGATGCGAAACCGCAACGGTCGAGTCAGACATGTTCAGTAACCACGGTGCTCATGTAGATTACGTCTGTTAGCTCCAGGTATAAGAACAAGTAGCTCATTGAACAAAGGCTACTTGACTTAGAAATCTCTGAGCCAAACATGCACAATCATAATATGATCTGAAGTAGATCTGGGATTAATGTTGATCTGCTTAACAGATGGGGAATAGAACCAAAATGTGGCTGAGTGCTCACCTTTTTTCCTGTTAAAAGCCCGATTCATACTGGAAAACCTTGTGTCTTTGCGATCCCTCCTGTGTATTTGCCAATATTCCACCTGGAGAGGGAAAAACACAGTTTCAGAATCCTTTAAAATCTCAGACCCTCAACAAACAAAACCTGGAAAATGTTACCAAACAACCAGCCTGATGCCACCCTCTCACAGAAAGCCAATATTTAGGCAGTCAGAATATATGGCAATGAAAACCTAGGCCCACCTACAAAACACCATGTGTTTACCTTTGGATTAAAGTCATTTACCATCTGAGTAGGGGAGTTGACCATTTTGGTATTTTTGATGGCTAGACTTGTTAGTAGAGTCATTTGTCACTCTCGATTTAGCACACTAAACATGACAAAGGTCAAAATAAATCTACTACTGCTGGTTGATTTCGTAGTAACAGTAAACATCGCTTGAGACCATTTTCTGGAAACTTTTTTTATTTATTTACTTTTTTCAGCCACAATCTGTTGCATTACAGTATAATCTTCCTAGGAGAAAGGGGTTATATGCTTGTCGGTGGCTGCCCGAATAAATCCAACCAAAGTAGATTAGTTATTGTAGCAAAACATTCGTCGTCATGACAAAGTTGTAGCTTTCACATAAAGCGGAGTTCAAAGCTGTCATATTAAACCCTGGTGGTGAACAGTAAATAGGCACTTGGGTTACAGTACCTACATGTTCTCTTTGACCATTTGCTGATGAACCCAACCAAGTGAGAACTTTTAATACCAAAGTGCGAGAAGGAGGAAAAGCCCAACATAAAGTTCAGTTGCAATCTCTCCCCAAAAAATTTAACTGAATATGTATCAATGAGGATGAGGACTCAAGACATTATACAACAAGGCATTAAGAAGCACATCAACTTTGCAAGGTTTTTGGTTTAAATGCCAATTTCCAAAATCTATGTTCTCAACTCTCTCACAGATAGATAGTGTACAAAAGTAAGTTCTGCCTCTGAATAGGTCGACTCAATTATTTTGACTGTTGCTGCTTCTTTCTTCATCTCTTTCACGTATTGATCAAGTCCCTTCGATGGAAATAGAATCCCTTCTAAGCCAATTTCTGCTTTGCTTAACAGTGATTTCAGGAAAAGGTAGAAACCCATTTCTGAGTCAACTTCATTTTACTTCGATATTTTTCAGTTTAAAACATCCCACTCCGGCAAAACTTAAATGGATTGAAGCACTGATGTAACTCTTTTTACTCATGACGTACATTACATTTTAATTCTAAACATGTTCTGATAAATGTTCTGTTAAGGAACCAAATAGAATGTCTCAGATGAGTTCCAAGGATGCCAAATTACTTTATTGTCCAGACATAAGAGCCTTTGTGAAGCAAACAATAGAACATAATTGTAATGTCCATTTGATTGAAAAGTCCATTTTAAAAGAATTGTATCAATTTGATACAACTGAAGGGCGACAACTTCCTTTCTAGATGGATAATGCAACATCCGGCTATAGCATCCATCTCTTCATTCAAAGACTCAATCATGGACACTCTTACTGACAGTTGTGGCTGCTTCGCGTGATGTATTGTTGTCTCTACCTTCTTGCCTTTGTGCTGTTGTCTGTGCCCAATAATGTTCGTACCATGTCTTGTGTTGCTACCATGTTGTGCTGTTGCCATATTGTGTTGCTACCGTGTTGTGTTGTTGTCTTAGGTCTCTCTTTATGTAGTGTTGTGTTGTCTGTCTTGACGTGATGTGTGTTTTGTCCTATATTTTTATTTCTAATCCCAGCCCCCGTCCCCGCAGGAGGCCTTTTGCCTTTTGGTAGGCCGTCATTGTAAATAAGAAAAAATAGCCAGGGGGCACACTCCAACACTCAGACATAATTTACAAACAAAGCATGTATGTTTAGTGAGTCTGCCAAATAAGAGGCAGTAGGAATGACCAGGCATGTTCTCTTGATAAGTGTGTGAATTTAACCATTTTCATTCCTGCTAAGCATTCAAAATGTAACGAGCACTTTTGCGTGTCAGGGAAAATGTATGGAGTAAAAAGTACATTATTTTATTTAGCAATATAGCGAAGTAAAAGTAAAAGTTGTCAAACATATAAATAGTAAAGTAAAGTATAGATACCAAAGAAAACTACTTAAGTAGTACTTTAAAGTATTTTTACTTAAGTACTTTACACCACTGGCCAAGAGCACACTTAAACATGTGCTATGCCATCTTCTGTGACACTGACAAATACAGTGCCTTCAGAAAGTATTCACACCCCTTGACCTTTTCCACATTGTTGTGTTACAGCCTGAATTTAAAATGGATTCAATTGAGATGTTGTGTCACTGGCCTTACACACAATACCCCATAATGTCAAAGTGGAATTATGTTTCTAGAAATCTTTACAAAATAATAAAAAATGTAAAGCTGAAAAGACTACTTCATCTCTGTACCCCACACATAAAATTATATGTAAGGTCCCTCAGTCGAGTAGTGAATATCAAACACAGATTCAACCACAAAGACCAATTTTAGAATAAGGCTGTACAGTAACAAAATGTGGAAAAAGTCAAGGGGTCTGAATACTTTCCGAATGCACTGTATATACAGTGGGGGAAAAAAGTATTTAGTCAGCCACCAATTGTGCAAGTTCTCCCACTTAAAAAGATGAGAGGCCTGTAATTTTCATCATAGGTACACGTCAACTATGACTGACAAAATGAGTTTTTTTTTCTCCAGAAAATCACATTGTAGTATTTTTTAATGAATTTATTTGCAAATTATGGTGGAAAGGAAAATAAGTATTTGGTCAATAACAAAAGTTTCTCAATACTTTGTTATATACCCTTTGTTGGCAATTACACAGGTCAAACTTCTGTAAGTCTTCACAAGGTTTTCACACACTGTTGCTGGTATTTTGGCCCATTCCTCCATGCAGATCTCCTCTAGAGCAGTGATGTTTTGGGGCTGTCGCTGGGCAACACGGACTTTCAACTCCCTCCAAAGATTTTCTATGGGGTTGAGATCTGGAGACTGGCTAGGCCACTCCAGGACCTTGAAATGCTTCTTACGAAGCCACTCCTTCGTTGCCCGGGCGGTGTGTTTGGGATCATTGTCATGCTGAAAGACCCAGCCACGTTTCATCTTCAATGCCCTTGCTGATGGAAGGAGGTTTTCACTCAAAATCTCACGATACATGGCCCCATTCATTCTTTCTTTTACACGGATCAGTCGTCCTGGTCCCTTTGCAGAAAAACAGCCCCAAAGCATGATGTTTCCACCCCTATGCTTCACAGTAGGTATGGTGTTCTTTGGATGCAACTCAGCATTCTTTGTCCTCCAAACACGACGAGTTGAGTTTTTACCAAAAAGTTCTATTTTGGTTTCATCTGACCATATGACATTCTCCCAATCCTCTTCTGGATCATCCAAATGCACTCTAGCAAACTTCAGACGTAGAGTATGTAGAGTATACTGTATATTAAAATGCTTACAATAGTCCAGATGAAGTCAATAGTTCCAGGCATTTCTATTTTCATAAGTTGAGACAAACTGAGAAACTAACTTTGGGAAGGACATTTTTATCGACTGACATATGCAGAGGAGCGTTGCAACGTTCAGGATATAATGACACTCGGGGGGAGAAAAATCACGTCTAGCTCTGTGAAGAGTACTATGTTTCAGGGCTACTTTTTAAAAGAGGGGTGTGGTGCTAAATACACTGGAGAACACTCAACGCAGGAGTCTGAAAGGATTGACATTTGAGTCATTATCCAGAGCGACTAGGGGTAAGTGTCTTGCTCAAGGGCACATCAACAGACTTTTTACCTAGTCAGCCCAGAGATTCAAACCAGAGACCTTTCGGTTACTGGCCCAACGCTCTTAACCGCTAGGCTACCTGCCACCCCTAGCAGGTACAAACATGCTATTCTATTTAACAGCCAGACCTGAGAGACTGTGAGCCGTTCTACAATAATACAATGTGCAAATAGTGATTCAAAGCTCCATGTGAATGTTTCCATGCAAAGAACAGTAATGTTTCCTTACTCCTTAATCTCAAAGTTAATCGATGTGAACTGTGAGCCGGAAATTGTGTCAAAAGCTTTATTATCAATAATCCATAAACAACATTATTTCTTATACTTGGACATGACAGAAAAGCTATTGCAAGCATTCCCATGTCTTATTTGTCCAATTTGAGAGATGTAATTCAGAAACTGAAATGAGCAATTTAGCATTACAAACATCAATTAGTCTAGCTTTAAGATATGTTAGCTACAGTATAGTGTTATATACCATGATTTCTTCCCATTATGAAAGAAAATAGAAAAACTAGCAAATCACCATAATTTAAACAGAACTATAGCACCAAACAACTCTTTTGTTTCTTTAATTACATAGCAACAAGCGTCCTACAATAAGTCGCTAAGGATACTAGGATAATGTAAAATAGACAGAAATATATTTAGACATGCAATTACTAAGACACATATACATTTCCTGCAGAGACATAACTTCATTTAACAAAGGTCAAAACCCACATTGTTTTTCAGGGCGAAAAGCTTAACTGGAATGGGCTAGAGGGTGTGGATTGGGATATTCCGAGGTCTGCCAAAACAGAATAGTTTCGCAGCTTAAAAATGACATCTTGTATTTCTTATTTACAGCCAAATAATCTGTTCCCGCCTCAGAGCAATGCAGAGCCAGCAACCATGTCCACAATTCAGGGGAGAAGGGGTAACTTTTCTGCACATCTCAAGACGCTAGACATAAGCAATAGGCTCGGCGCCAAATCAGTTATTTATGTCACCCTGAGCATGATGAAAATGGTATCACAGCGGCTTTTTGCACAGTCTTGTAGGGTCTAAAGCATGTGAAGTCCCGATTAATAGGGGAATATGATTCATTATGGTTAGCCTACTTTACGAGTGGCAGATTGAAAAAAAATCCATTAAATATCTGGAGTTTCTGAGAAAACGTCAGCATTAAAAATGTACTTCAAAAATAAATAGCCTATTATGATCAACACGTGACATCTGGAAAACCGTGTATCACTCAATGGACCATACTGAGTCAATACTCTGTAGACCAATGCTCAAAGGGTGAGTGTCCCTTGAGTGCTGCTATTGAAGCTTCTCTCTCCTGATCTTAACCAACAGGACTTAAGGCCCTTTATAAACTGGGTGGTTCGAGTCCTGAATGCTGAATTGGCTCAAAGCTGTGGTATATCAGACCGTATACCACGGGTATGACAAAACGGGTTACTGCTCTAATTACGTTGGTAACCAGTTTATAATAGCAATGAGGCTCCTCAGGGGTTTGAGATATT